CAAAGAAATGCTTATCATGATTCATGATTGACGTTTATACTTTATTAAATGTATTGAGGAACAATGAGACAATGAACCGGGAAATTCGACTGCATAAATAAGTCTTCGTCAGCTATCTAACCCATGTTAGATAGCTGATGAAGACGTGATTTTATGCACGTGATTTTAAGCACAAGTGACGTCAGCAATAGGTCAAAGGTTATTGAACGTTGATGTCGCCCTCTCCCGTCCCAGTCAGTCTAATTTTGTTTAGTTGGAGAACATTTTAATCGTTCCAATATGTAATTTACCAAGTCATATAAGCTTTCGTGATATCTATTTTCCTCGGCAATCGGAGAACATATGGTCCATTGCCATGCCTATTTTTAAAAACCACCATACAAATTTAGAATAACGTTAGTCCTATCTGATTTGTAAGGTTCGGGAGGAGCCCGGTGTTAGTGGAGACAAGGTGGATGAGGTTCTCTTGGGGCTCACCAATCCAACCAACATCAATCAGCTCATCTACGCTAACAACCAACAGGGCGTGGCCCAGATAGGCACTCTGGTGGCCTCGATGATGAATACGGTACCGTTTTATTGCACATGATATCATCAATTTTAAACGCAAAGATTTGGCACCTGAACTAAATAACATGGTTTTTGTTTTACATTTTAGACTTTTAGAATGTTGTCGTGTAGAACGGAAGTGGAATCAATTCAGGATGCTACTGCAAACCTGTTCGTGACACGCATTTTCTTCTCCGGGTACGGAAGCATTGTTTTGGGTGGCTGGGTTCTTGATTTGTGTTTCTGTCTAGCTTCGTTTACCAGGTGATATTGAAAGTTAGCTCGTTAGTTAGGTAGATCAAGTGACCTTGTAGGGTTCTGAGTAAGTGGGCGATATGTGGTGCAATTCAGGTAGTATAATGTAATACCCGATCCACAATGCCAGTACATTCACTGAAACCCAAAGCACTTCATGGAGTTCTGTGAACATGAAGGTCATAAAAACCATGAATACTTCCCAGATGTCTGAAATCCCCAATTTTTTGTTTATTCCAGGAAGACGCTAATAATGTCAATGACGCACCAATAGAGAATGACTTTGTACCTGATGATGACGACATCGCAAATGAAATCAAGCAACAGAAAGAGAAAAGGCAGCGTAGAGAGCAGGTATGTTGTAATCATAGATAAAACAGATTAATTCAGTGACTGAAAAATACCCTTTGCATTGACAGATGATAAAATGACTGCACTTTGATGACCAAACAAAAATTACTTCGCACGGCATGTTTTTTTTTTCAGATACGTGAAAATATTGTCAATGCTGTATACCAGACCACAAGTTTGGTCAACAGTGTCGAGGCGATCCAGCAATCCTGTCTCACTGTGAAAGCAATCACCGGGAATTCAGAAGAGGTTTCTCCCGATGCACAGGTAGATAGAACATCTGAAATGTATTATCTAAAGTTCTAAACTGAATAATAACTGTTACATAACTTCAAAGAGATATTTGAAATTGTCAACTCTTAGTTGTACAGAGTGAAAAGGATAAGCAGCCCATAAAATGAGTACGGTCAAGCCTACCCTACTGTGTATAGAACAAAGTACTAGTAATACATTTAGTACACAGTCATACAATCACTACGTGTATAGAGTCACATCGTATAGGATCGATGTTTTGTAACTCCATGATCCAGGTGACTGCAGTGTCCGCGGTTGAGAACATGGCAGAACGACTGCAGGTCCTGGATATCACAGAACAGCCACCGGAAAACCTGGAGGCAACTGCGAGCGGTAAGCGTTTTGATGTTTGCACATATGCAACATTTCTGTCCAAATAACTCCCAGTATTGTTTTGGGTGGCTGATAGGCATGGCAGGCGGAATGAAAGTTTGAAAAGAGGTCCAAACGTCAGACACAGGAATTGGCTCTAGCCAGTACCCAGCAGCGATTACGACAGGGGGAATTCAGGACGCCAAGGCTTGCATAAGGGTTGCAATACTCCCTGACAGGCTGAAATCTCCGATTTCTTGTTCAAAAATCGATGAAATACATTTAGTAATTGCTGAAGAGCGGATTTATCTTTTTGAAATGCACTTCACGTGACAACGTTGTGCACATTTTATTCCTAGAAATGGTACAAAGTCTCAGTAATATCATCGAGGCAACCGATACGACCGTGGAAAAAACGAAAGCAGTGACGGCAACGGCAAGCCAAGACTTCATACAGGAGAAGGACATCTTAGAAATGACTCCAGATCAACTGGACCAAGTCAAGGCTGACAAACAAAGAGCAAAAGATGAAGCAAAACAGCAAGAGCAGAGGGCTACTGATGCGGTAAGTAGATCACTTGACGTTACACAATAACTACCTTCGCCAAGAAGGCCATGTCTTCAGGGAAGTGGGTTTGTTTCCGAAGTTTCTCTCTTTGTTGACAGCATAACTTAAAAAGTTATGTATGGACCTTAATGATAAGTGGCATGTTGGTTGGTTGTGATAGAAATAGACTTTGGGTTTCCATGTTACTTCCGATTTTGATATCTCGTGTTCTGGACATGCTATGATTTTTGGATGGTCGTTGGCTGATTGATAAGCATATTTCTTTCACACCAGTTTTACAAGTCTTTTCAAAAGCTTTCCTGATTACAGGCAAAACAGGTTTCAACGAAAACGTTCAAAGCTGCCAAGGCCGTTTCTACTTTCGTTTTGAAGACGAAAACCCCCGGATCACCCCCGGTGGTCATCAACTCACCCAAATTATCCATGATTCTCGAGAAGTCCGAACCGAGCTTGTTGGCAAACAAAACGGTGGACACTCGCGAGGGGTTTTTCAAGATGCCAGGTGCGATTGTAGCTGGTCTACATGGAACTCCTGATGCCGTTAATATTGAGGTATAGTATCATTTTGTTTGTTTCTCTTTTTTTCTATGACAGTTTCCTTGGAGTACAAGTAATAACTTGATTGAATCTTGTCATTCAAATCAAGCCTGGTAGATATAGAACTAACTCTTTAAGTGAATTGAATCGGTTTAGTGCTCAAATGTATTTTACCTTTATATAATTAAGTTATATAAAATATGTTGTATCTTATTGACGGGTTGCTTAATTACTATACATTAATATATCATATCCTTCCAGGTGGTTTCATCCCCCAATAATCCGTTCATTTGGGACCAAAGCGCTGACAACATCAACACCCCGGTGATGTCATTGTCGTTACAAGGACCGGATAATGCTGACATCGAAGTGAATGGAATAGCAGAGCCGATAGAAATACGAATGGAGGCCAACCCACTTAAGGTGAAGATATACCTGTATGATTGTACGCAACTCTTTCTTAAACCTTTGAAAAGTCGGAAATACATTCATGAAAGTGTGGACCATATTGACAGAGGTTAACATTAATCGTAAGATCGTTGTACGATTGCAAATTGAAAGCAGTCTTGGGTCAGTCGTACATGTTTCTTACAACATTCAGAGACCTTGTTACCGAAAAGGATGACTGTCAGCCGTTGGTTTAGGCATAGGCTGCTTAGGTATCTCAACACATCAAAATCGCACGACGACCTACGACGAATGTTACTGCGCCGTCAGTCTGCATTGCCACATCCTCCCGCCAGGAGACGTATGAAGTATACCATGAAACGAATTATAGTCTTGCACTAGTAGCATGCACTAATGCATGATTATTTATGGACATTTGCATACCTCAGGTACCGGTTGCAGTGACGTATGTACCAACCACGTCAACTCCGGAGGAGCTCTATGACTACTACACAGAAGTGCTGACTGACTATACCTACCATCGTATCGACACCATAAACGTTGGATACGAAATACATGTTGTTATCCGACATACGAAACCAGGTAATCACATGCAGACGTATAGTTACAACCAACATACGGTGACAATTTCATACAGATCCGCTAGTATACATAATTGAAAAAATTATACAAACTTATGTTAATGAAAAAGCTTTCATACATTCCATACACGTTATTGTAAGTACTTTTCCTGGTGACTCTGGATTTTTCGCTTTCTCTGTGCTAATTGCATAGTGGGTAGGAGGTGATTTTGACAGATGATTGGTCAAGCCTACAGGTGCCCCAACACACGCCGGGAGTGTGGAAGTGAGCACTAGTGGGTGAAATAGAGAGGAATTGAGGAATTGGTGCAATACCCGATTAAATCACATCAATCAACCCCCTCCACAGTTAGAATACATTCACTGAAACCTAAAACTCTTCCCGGAGGTCTGTAAACCAGTCTCGAAAACCGAAAATACTTCCCACAAGTCTAAAATCTCTCGTTCACCTCCTATTCCAGCTGTTCAAACATTAGCTTATTTGAAAGAAGGAGACTATCCGTCCTCTGATGATTACAACGTCAGTGCAGTCATCCCGCACCAGGTGAGAGATGAGAACGGTAAGTTCTCACCTGAGGAGCTGGAGGAGCTGCGCCACAGCATCACCGTACCGCAGGACATGATCACACGGAATGCCACCTGGTATCTTGCTCTACAGGGGACCGGTAAGTTACTATTAAGTAGTTTTAGTTATTACTGTATTCATGCTACAATCGTACGTATCTAACATCTTTGATGATTTTGTTCGGTCCAAATTTAGATAGAAATTGGGCAAATTACTTTTGCGATTACTTCCGGGTGCGGAAGTATTGTTTTGGTTAGCTGAGTTTGCGTGTCTGCGTGGATTGACGTCTAGAATTACAGGTGATCAAAAGGTCAGGCACAGGAACTTGCTCTGGCCGCTGGACGTACAGTATAAGTAGTCGACATTAGAAACTTCAGGAATCCAAGGTTTGGATGAGGGACCCTACAATACATCTCGGAAGTCTAAAATAGTCTGAAATCTCCAATTTCTTGTTCTTTGTGCCATAACAATGACAATGATTTGAAGTACATTTGTAGCTATAGCCATTTTAATTTGTTAATTGCTTTTAATATCTAAGATATACCTTCCAGATCCAGGCAGCGATGTTCCCAACGGACCAATGTCGTCCAACTACTCTCTGCAGATCCTTTTCTTCGGCTGCCGCTATTGGGATGAACCAGAGGACAAATGGAAGGGAGATGGCTGCAAGGTGACCATTTTCTTTCATTAAAATCTTTTTATATCATAGCGATAATGAATCAAATATTCATCAACTAGACAAGTAATACGAGAAAAGTAACTGCTTGTGCTGTTTTCAGGAACGGAAGTATTGTTTTGGGTGATTGAGCTCTGTGTGTGCGTTTGTCTGCATGTCCGGACACGTGTACGGTAGATTCACAGCATGTGGGAAGGGGAAGATTGACAGACAGAATCTCGATTTTTTTGTTCGATTTGTGTTGCTTAAAAAAACAATCTGAGAGAACAATGAGGCAAATACCCATAATACTCTTACTTGTCAAACTACTGATTATACTGCATTTCCATTGCTACAACAGGTTTCTGAGTACTCCACATCCCAGGCGACTATATGCCTCTGTACCCACCTGACGTCCTTCGGCGCGGAGTTGTTTACTCCAACAAACATGATTGACTTCCGGACGGTCTTCAGTAAAAACATCGGGGAGAACCCGTACGTTCTGTGCACCATCGTGGTACTGGTGGTGATCTATCTGGGTATGGCAATCCTGGCCAGGAGGGCTGATCTAAAGGACGTTGTGAAGGTAAAGAATCTGTATTTAGTCACAATGAAAGCCGAATACATTCGATTCCTGCAATATATATGCTACTTGAAACATACTAGCCTGACTACATCACCCTATTAGCGGCCCTTCCACTGGTCAGGGCCCTAGAAACTTGGTGACCAACACTCTAAGTCAGGAGAATTGGGAACATCTTAATCCTGTTGATTTATGCATACGTATGTGCTAAGATGGGCCAACTATTGTTAGAATGAGAACTGTCTGTTATCATAGTTTGGGACGATATGATTACTTCTTTTTATAGTGACAATCCTGGGCTCTTATTATTAGACTCATTTTCATAGTGATGAAGAATTGTAGTTTTGTGAATAGGTAATGGCTACAAGCTCTCGGGGATGACCTTTATTGGTGCAATTTATTGTTGACGCTGTACTAACCTTCTTTATGCCCAATTTTCCATCGCCAGTGGAGTGTCACTGCTCTGTCAGATAATCGGCTGATTGACTCCTATCACTACGAAGTGACGGTGTATACAGGGCTGAGGAAGGGTGCCGGCACGAAGTCAAACGTCTTCTTCATTCTGCACGGAGATAACGGCAAAAGTCGGACCCGACGTCTGGCTGGCAAAGGAAAGGTAAAGCATATGTGATGAATTGTAATGGTGACGTTTCACAACGTTTTCCTACCTCCTAAATCAATGTTCTGTTGATTTACATTGTGCACAACATGACAGCATAAAGCTTATTAAGGAATTTGCTCTAGTAGTCTTACCAAATGTGATTAAGCCAATCTTTGTTTGAAAGCGTTTAGTGTTTGCTCCTGATCCTCGTTACAGTATGCATCTCCGGGCAGGTATTGGAAGACAAAAGGTGGAATTTGTCAATAATGATTAATACACACAGAGCATCTACATGTATACTGGCGCAGTTTACCACCGAAAACATTTTTTACCAGACTTACTTGGCATTTATCGTCATTATTAAATCTCTCCTTTCATACAGTGTCGGAGATTATCTCTTAATCCGCTTGGATTTTTGTCCCAGGAGTTCAGCCGTGGCAGTGTGAACCAGTTCCTGATGAGTGAGATGAGGGATCTAGGCGGCCTGACGTCCCTGCAGATCTGGCACGACAACGGGGAGCAGGGCATGGACGGGTCCTGGTACCTCAACAGAGTACAAGTGCGAGATCTGCAAACAAATGAAAGGTACCGGTAGACTTTAAGCTTGTATGCGCGTCACATTGAAGATGAATCGTATACTCGCTTCAATGGAAGTATTTATTTTGGGTGGCTTGGTTCCCGCGTGCCGGTCTGTCTTCTAGAGTTGCTTCTGCATGGCGGGTGGGAGATGATTTTGACATTTGATTGATAGAGTGTCACGCCTGGGAGTGATTCAACACGTGCTAGGAAGGAATATGTGTAACACCTGATTAGATTACATCATACAAACGGGGTCTGCAAACTGGAAGGCCACCAAAACCCCAAATACTTCCCGAATGTCGGAAACCTCCGATTTCCTGCATTTCATATTAATATCGTGGGTCCTAAACGCCAAACGCCATCATTATACTAAGGGAGAAAAAAACTCGAATAAAGTATGGAGTACTGAATGATATATACGCATAGTGGACAATGTCCTCACTGCTGCAGGTCCTACTTCATCTGCGATGACTGGCTGGCTGTGAACCTGGGAGACGGCCAGATCAAACGGACTCTGCCTGTCGCAACGGAGAAAGAAATGGTGCAGTTTGACCAACTGTTCCTCTCTACCGTAAGTACGAATTTAGTCCTGCTTTTTCCATGTTATCATCATCATCCAGCCTGCCAGCTTATGCTTATGCATATAGATAACTCATCATGTACTATCATACATGCTAGACAAACCTCAAAGACTGGAGGTCACGAAAACCCAAAATACTTCTCGGAAGACTAAAATCTAAGATTTGTTGTTTTCATTGCCAATCTTTGTATCTATATATGGCAGGTGAAGAAGGACTTCAGTGACGGCCACCTGTGGTTCTCTGTGTTCTCCCGTCCGACCAGAAGTAACTTCACCCGGGTTCAGCGTGTCACGTGCTGCCTGTCTCTCCTCTTCTGCACCATGGTGTCAAACGCCATGTGGTCAGTACTGTTATGTAAAGTAGAATTGTTTCAAGACGGAAGTATTGCTTTGGGTGGTGGTAAGTTTGTTGCTAGGTTTGTATGTTTGGGTTCCAAAGTGAGTGGGCGCTGTTCGATCTGAATTTGAACCCATAATATACTGCCTTCCAATTTTATAGCCCCACAACTTCTTTAATTCTAAAGGCAGAAACGCAAAAGACAAAAAAATTCAAATTCAAATCTGACGGACATTTAGCCACTCTTTCATTGGCCGAACAATTGATTACCATATTCTCATTGGTTGAAGTACTAATCATGATGGACAGTCAGTTTCCGTCTAATTTACATGCAGGTACGAGACAGAGAAGAATGTGAAGACTGTCCACGCCATCACTATCGGGTCACTGACCTTCACCTGGCACCAGCTGTACGTCAGTATCATGAGCACCCTCGTCATCTTCCCGGTTAACATCGGGCTCGTCACACTCTTCAGGTAAGTGTCCGTCGTACGATTGTTGCAAAAGCAAGATCGCAAACTGAGGACATTATTGGGATAGTTGTGCATATGTCCTGCAAAATTAGCTGTCTTGTTACGGAAAAGACCTTTTAAATGTTTTATGTACAAAATAAATGGATTCCTTTAGTTTGATCCTTGTCACATTTTTTTTTCAATTTTCCTTATAAAAGAAATTCAATCTACTCTGCTGGACGTGGCATCTTTGACTGGTTGTTTTCTCATTACTGCTCCTCAGTGCAGCTGAATTACTATGTTATGAGGGCAAGCTAGAACAAAAAGATACTTTACTAAATTTGGTGCAATTTCTGTGGCGGTTCTTTATGCGTATATTTTTATATATCAGGAAAATCCGTCCGAAAGAATCGGCCCTCTATGACGAACTAGACTCCAGTAAGGGGAAGAACAGCAGTGCACCAACGCTCGATGGCCATGGCAGTGTTAGCAACATAGACATCGAATCTGCAACGAGCGACCATGCCGAAGAAGCTCCTGCTAAGAAACCGTTCCTGTTCCCTCCCTGGATGGTGTACGTGGCGTGGTGCGTCGCCTTCCTGGTCACCTTCACGTCAGCGTTCTTCAGCGTACTGTACAGTCTGGAGTGGGGACCCAAGAAGTCCGTCGACTGGCTGACCTCGATGTTCTTGTCGTTTTCACTGTCTCTCTTAGTGGTGGATCCAATCAAGGTACACACATTCTGACTGCATAAAAGAGAGTATTTACCAATGCCGATTAATGCTAGGTAAGATTGGTACTGGTTGCTTTGGGTATCTGATGTTAAGGCAACCATTCCAACCGTCAACATTTGTTCTTCCACCATGTAAGTTTGAATTCAGAATATGCAGCGTTTAAAACCAACTAATTATAAGTAACTGCAAAAGAAATTCTGTTCATGTCCGTGGTGCTGAAATGAAAGTTGTGCCTTCCAATGGACTGTGCAACTGGTTACAAAAAGCACCCTGTAATTCAATGAATGTTATCGTATCACATTCCTTCAATTTTTCGAGACGGAAAGGTTACGTTCACTATTTACTTTCCTCGCAGACCTATAGATGTTTATTTGCTTTTTATTTATCTTCATTTATTAATTCTCATTCATCTATTCAATATATTTATTTTGATTTGTGTCCTTTATCCTCTAGGTGCTGGCAATCGCCGCCGTTCTGTCCTGTGTGCTTAAGAAGCCAGGTGATGACAGCATCGACTCTAGTGACGCCAAGGCAAAGACTTTAGATCAGGATGATGAATGGATCTATGAGATTCCACCCGATGACAGCGATAACGGTTCGTCATAATCTCTTTTGTTCGTACATTAAATCTTTAGGGACACAATGCAATCATACGATTATATGATGAAACACCACTATATATTACGACATGATTTATGTTTCATACATTTCTTGTGACCACATTCTTATACCAGGGCATACTTAGTCAATACCCTGTCAATCAAGTGCGAATAAATCTCCACCCTCGACTAGTCCAAGTTTTATAAGGAATGGTTTTTTGTTTGTTTAACACAGAATATGAGGAAGAAAAGGTTAACGAGCCTGATCCGGAGAAATTAGCGAGAGCAAGAGAACTCCTCGCCACAGAAGCGAAGATGTCCGACCTGCTTCGGGAAATCGCCCGATATTTCCTGTTGGTCCTGGTGCTGATGTTCATCGCCTACAATAACAGGGATCCAAACGCCTACTATGTCATGAAGACGTTTCAAGACACTTTCGTGAACGTCGAGCTTTCTTTGGAACAGGTATGTGTCTCCTTGCATTTTTTATGATCTTTAGCTACGTTTTGAATCATCAACGTAAGTACGGAAACTATTTGAAACAGCAAACCAGAGATTTCTCACTTCCAGGAATAATCTTGGATTTCACAGACTCCCGCGAAGTGTTTTAGGTTTTCGTGACAGTATTGGAACTGTGGAGATCATTGTATGGTGTAGTGTAATCGTGTATTACGCCACTTCCTGAATTCCCCCATTGCGGGTACTGCGTCACCTTCAGGCGTGACATTCCTGTCAATCAGCTGTCAAAATCACCCCCCGCCCCTCATACAACCGAGGATAGGATAAACCCACAGCTCAGTCGCCAAAATAAGAGTCACAGCGTATAGAAAATACTACATAGATGACAACGCCAAGTATATGTTTTAACGATTGTGCTTTTTTTAGGTTCGAACCCCCGATGATTTCTGGACATGGGCGAACAACACTCTTATCCCGGGCATCTACACCGGGTCATGGTACAACGACAAACCTACCACCATACGGGAACAGAAGTTTTTGTCCGACAAGCTGTCCTTCCGTGTGGGACCTGCCAGGCTGAGACAGCTACGAGTTCCACCAAGTGCGTCCATTAACGTTGTTAGTTTGTTCAAATGAAGCCAACATTGTTAGTTGTTACAACTCTCTCTTCATTCAAAAAAGAAGACATCAAAAATCGGCCCTACCCAGTATGTGGTTTCAGGCTTTTGCTGTTTCCTTGGTAAGGGCCGTTGCCCTTGTCCTCTTATCCTACACCTAGCGGTAGTTATACACCGAGTAGTAAGTCATTTGGTACCTCAGTATTTTAGCACATACGATTGCTTAATCCCAAACATTCTATTGAAGCCCACGCCCAACTTTACCTTCTACGAACCAGATACATTTTTGCTCCGGGGGAATGAAGCTTCTTTCAAATTGTCAGCAGCTGATTTCAGTGCTATAGCTAGTACGGATTGCTAGGCGATGTTTTTTATCCATGATCGTGAATATGAAACCAGATCTTTAGAGCACAGCTAAATTTCTGTTTTCTTCTGTTTCCGTGTTCCAGACTCCTGCAAGGTTGTGGAGGCCATGTTGGGAATCGCTGAAGGTTGCAATGCCGAGTATCAGCAGAATAACGAGGAACAGAGAACGTTCTTACCCGGCTGGAAGTATCACCCTAATGCCTCTTACCTCACAGGTGTACTTTTCATATTTTCCTTACTTCACTTTACGTATCAGGATCTAAGACAATTGCATGGTTACAGTGCGGCCACATTCATCGTAGACCGCCGAACGATTTTGATGTCGTAGAGCCGACAAGGATGTAAGGTAGCATTTGCCATGAAAAAAAGTCAACAGCTTAATTTGCAGGACGCGTGCAATCCTACCCCAAGAGTGGTCACAGTTTGCGATCGTACGGCATACATCCTGACTGCAACTATTTACAAATTGACAATTGCTCACATATGTCAGCATAAAAGTCACAATCGACACTATATACTAGCTAACAATTTGATATTTCGATAAAGGTGTGTGTATGGTTTAGAAATAGAATAAAGACAATATATATCTTCCTTTTGGTGACATTTCTCATGGAACATTTAGAGGGGAACTACTGGCGATACCAAACAGCGAGTGAACTCGGGTCCTTCTCCTACTTAGGAAGGTTGTACAGATACAGGTACGTGGGAGCTTGCAGAAGTGTGTTGTCCTTGTCACATTTCGAATTTACCTTCATGTATAGACTGTGTAGATTTTGGGTCATATTTTGAATGGAACCCATGACTCTTTGTAAGCAAGCTTTTTGGTGCATATCAATGATTCAATTGTTCACGCACCATGCTCATACTAGTAGTTATCGGACATTTTGGCGACGCTACAGGGGCGAGTCTAATAGTATAGTATAGTATGGAATTGGTCTGCAAGAATTTCTGCAATTTTCTACACGTGCGCAATAAAGATCTGTTTTGGCCATGCCTCAGGGGCGAATCTGACAATATATATCATATCTATAGGAATCTGTGAATACATATGGATTGATGGATCGTGTTCAGTTTTGATATTAGCTTAAGTGTCGATTGACTAAACTAGGTGCCCCCTTTTCCCCCCACAAAATAATGCCAAGCTACATATCTAAATAGAGGCCGTCACAATTTTTCATTGTCTATCTTTTTTGTATCATTCTGTTCTTCCAGTGGAGGAGGGTACGAGGCTGTTTTGGGCATATCTAACCTCGAATCCAGGCGAGTCTGTGACTATCTCCAAAGAAACGGCTGGGTAGACCGACTAACACGCGCCATTTTGGTCGAATTCACCACGTACAACGCCAACAGTAACCTGTTCGGGTCTGCGAAGTTCCTGCTCGAGTTTGGCGCCATGGGTGCCGCCATGATAGGATATCACGACATCGACATTTTGCGGCTCTTCAACTACGTAGGACCTTTTGGTATAATGGCGATAGTGTTCGAGCTGGTATACATCCAGGTATGTAATCGTATGCGATTTGCAGAGAATCGCACAGCGAGTTTCGTCCTCCTAGGGGACGAAAGTCGCAGGCTGCGAGTTTCTTCACCTGAGAGCGGGGGCGCGCAGACTACCCTATTCGTGCGAATATCGTCGATCTTACGCTGGGCCGCGCACACATACTTAGGTAACCCTTATTAGTGCTACCGGGGCCGCGCACGGCTTTTTACCTACCAACGGAGCCGGGCAGACATTTACCGATGTTGTGTTCACCTGCACTCCTGATATCCTCCTTGTTCAATGTCCCCGATCTGGGGAGGACGCGCAGGCCAGGCCCAGCTCAGGGGGCCGAAAAATTCAAAGGAACCCTTTGCGTACGCACAACATGTCCAGCATTTTCGTTGGATCGCAAGGGAATAGAAATAAACAAAAGCTTTATAGACATATCCTTCTGGTAATCTGTGTCTAGTATTTTTCAGGTAGAATCCAAGGTCAATACAGCAGTTTTCGCCACCAAATTATTCACTTCCGGTAAGTTTGTAGCTCAGTAGGCAGGATAACATCCAAAGGTAAGTGATCGCAGCAGAGCGGCACATACCGGGTGAGATCATCAGGCACACAGCGCCGTGGAAAAGGTTGGTATTGCATCTAGCTACAGAGAATAAATATTTCCTACATTATTTGTTTAAGTAGTAGTCTACCAAAAACCAGAGAACGAATTGTTTGTAGGCTGTCTTATTCGTAGAATAAGCGTATAGCCAATCGGAATTGTAACATGTCGGCGTATGAACCGACAAAGAAAACATTGATTGCGCGGTGAAGTCTTCGTTCATTATGTTTCCGCTAGAAAATAATTTGATATTGCCTACTATGCATGATTTTAAACAGTGGTCCACTGCTTGGTAAAGCCTTTTCATCATAGCTGTCTGCTCACCAACATAATGCGAGCAAGCAACCTGTTCGGTGGGAAAGCACTATATACCCCACGCGTGGAATTTCATTCAACCTCACCAAACAATAAAACACATTTGCCTAACAATAAAGTACTTGGCGTTGTCCACCAGGTGTCCTAAGAAAACAACAGGACTATTTCATAAGGTGTGGATGAGAAAATGACGACCAACAATATGATCATAGAAATGGTGAAATACGGTGACTTCTACTAGCCGATCATTGATCGCTTACCTGTTGCAAATTATTTGGTCTGGCTTGATTCGTATCAGCTTTATTCTTACCTTTGTTGTGTTCAGACGTGCTCTTTCGAAGTTTTCTACCGTCATTAATTTGTCGAAATGCGAAACGTAGTCTGGGTACCATCCTGCTTAGTACACAACACTTTACGTCCGCTCCCACAGTCGCACCGATCACACACAAATTTAAGGGAAAAACAACAACAATACAGTCCTTCTCAGGACTAAGTGGTCTAACCTGGCCCCAACAATTAGTCCCAAAGTCTTTGTCAATTACGACCCGCGGGAGCGCACACGCCAAGACAATAATCTATTCAATTTGGAAACTTTCTTGTAGCTCTGTATCATACATATAATGAGTAAAGTCGGGGTAGTTGTAAAAATAATAATGAATATATAGGTTATTATATCATAGTATTCTTCTGCAATATACATATTCTATGAGATGGCTCCAACACGCCGCAGGAGTGAGTTTGGCAGGAAACGTGATGCATTCTGGGGCGTTCCTTCAGAGGACAATGACCCCTTGGATGCGTGCGTCAACCCAAACAGGCTCGGCGTCTTTTAGATTTCTACAAATTGTAAACCACCAACAAATTATCAAAAGAAAGCTAAATTCTTCAACATATGAATTTGGATAGACTTTAAGGTCATATAAATTATCCTTCTAAATTTTACGATCAATCTGAACAAATAAATTGGAACGGTGTACATGTAATTTCCCTGCGTTGATTAACAACGTAAGACCAGTGATGCCATGTATGAATATTTTCCACACACTGCTTCAAGTTCATGTCTTTAACATTGTGTAAATGTTGATTTTCTTTGTTGTTTGTGAAACGCAAATTATGAGGAGCGAGTAAGCCGCGACTCCAGCGAATTTGTACGCCAGGTAGCATATTGTCCAAAAACGTCTGTTTTTTTCTAATTTCTTTTACACAATAGAAATGTGAATACCAACGCAGGGCACATGAATAAAATCTATTCTACCTTAGCCCCATTTTTGTTGTGTTGTCTGGCTATTTGTTGGCGTCACGTATACATGGGCGCCATCTTGTTTTTTTTACGATATGCGTAGATCGAAGTTACAGATAAGGTTTATTTTGAGGTTTAACCGCTAATTTCCCTATATAAATGATAGTATGTCATTCTCCATAGCTATCACTGAGTTAGATACAGTATCACTGAGTATATTTGCAGTTTATTTGGAATTATCCAGGTGCATGTAGTGCTGGCGCTTTCTCTGAGTTCCATGTTCCTAGTTTCTGTAAACCGAATGAATTTTCTGTAAAACCCTGCAGAGAAAGAAGAACATTGAGTTAAACTGTATCAATTTGCGATCTTTTTCTAATCCATAGCTGATCATGAACACTATACAGCTGATCTATATTTACAAATCTAGTTCAGCTGATGGAATGCAAGTGAACGTCGTTAAATGTCTGCCGAAGTTCCGGTAGAGAGCCGTGCGCGGCCCCGGGTAAGTCTGGAAAGCTTCGCACATATATGGTTACCGTACGTGTGCGCGGCCCAGCGTAAGATCGACGATATTCGCACGAACAGGGTAGTCTGCGCGCCCCCGCTCTCAGGTGAAGAAACTCGCAGCCTGCGACTTTCGTCCCCTAGGACGACGAAACTCGCTGTGCGATTCTCTGCAAATCGCATACGATTACATAGCTCATACATCGGGTACCTGGCCTTCTCTATCTTTAAGGTATTATGTTTTCTTAATATCATATTGACGCAAATTTTGATTTGAAGCAGTAAGGCAGAAAAGGAATCATGACTAGCTATAGGATAATCATTATTTTCGTTCCAAGTCTCCGCCTATTCACTTTACGGAACCCACACAAACAAACATAGCATATATTAGCGCCACCCAAAACAATACTGCCATCCAGGAAGTTATTAATTTTGTTCTGCCTTCCATGATGTATCACAGAGCCTTTGCTCCATTGTAGTATGTATGGTGAAAAAATGCATTGTTCCATGTAGGTTACCACAAAGATATAAACATGAATCCTGTGATATTGAGGGAGAATGTACGTATACGCAATGTCATTACAGGAGACCAAGAAGTTGAAGCAGCAGCGCTGTTCGTACTTCAGCGATCCCTGGAACGTGCTGGAACTTTTCATTATCGTCGCGTCACTGATTGGAATCACTCTGTACATCGTGAAGGCGGTCTACACAAGTTCAACTCTATCTGCTCTAAAGGAAGAGGGAGGTAAAGCTGACATAGCCTAGACGAGTAGCTACACTTTAGGTTACTTAGTGAGATAGTTATCCACCATACGATGGTGTTACAACATCAGCCTACAAGTAAACACAGCTCATCATACCTTTGACGTGACAAAATTTTCAGTGACAATGTTTCACACCATCACATATGTTGTACAAGGTTCTACTTCCGGGTATGGAAGTATTGTTTTGAGTGGCTGCATTGTGAGTTTGTGTGTTTCGTGTCGGGACAGAGTACTAGTACATGTGGCTGTGAGGGAATATTGATTGGCAACATGGCAGGAGGCCAGAGAAAATTGAGTGAACCTGAAGGTCACGGAATCCGACTGAGAGTCAACAGGAAATAGTTATTAGTCTAGTACCTCATACAATATCCTCGGCCGTAGCAATAAATTCACACACACACACACACACACACACACACACACACACACACACACACACACACACGCACAAAACAATACACTTCCATCAGGTCTGAAATCTCCGATGTTTTGCTTTTTTTGCTTCACAGATAAGTTTGTGAGCTTCCAGGGCGTGTCCAGGATCTACGGCGCCTACAGCTTCGTCCTGTCCCTCGTGGTGTTCCTGTCCACGCTGAAGTTCATGAAGATCCTCCGCTTCAACAAGAAGATCTCCATGCTGTCCGCGACTGTCCGCCACAGCAGCGCCATGATGGTTCCCTTCGCCGTGCAGTTCATGCTCGTCTTCTTCGCCTTCGTCCACTTCGCGCTCATCGTGTTTGGGGAAGGCTCACTGAAGTTAGTCCTGATCTGAATTGCAATCTGGTTTCTGTTACATTTCGGTCAAATTCGTCGTAGGCCGTCGTACGACATTTTGTAGAATTTTCAAGCCGACTTTTATCGTAACAAGACAGATTTCATCAAATATTTTACAACACAGGCACAACAAATAAATTAGACATCCCCAAATTTTACTGTTAAGCTCCAGTTTTCGTCAAGGCATGAGCAACCCTATGCTTCTGTGCTCGCCACTGATCACTCTAATATTTTGTGTTGAAAATTACGCTTCAAATCTTTCTCATAACGACATTTACCAACGCATGTAGACTTTCAAGGTAAGACTTGCTTTCGTTCCCAATCCGCAGATACAACGACATCATCAGCGCTGCAGAGACCATCTTCTCCATGACCATCGGTAAATTTGACCACCAGGAACTGACGGACATCCACATGGTCCTGGGACCAGTCTTCTTCATCACCTTCATGCTGACCGTGTTCCTCGTCATCATCAACATATCTTTCACCATCATCAACGACAGTTTTGTGGAGGTGGGGTTCCTCCTACTGATTCATAATACCCGCTTTACATGATCAGGTGGAATGTACCGTCTGATTGAAAATTCTTTGTACAATTTTATATTTAGTGCATTCTAGAGATTCTCATTGTACAAGGAGGTCTGGCTTTTAGAATACTATGAAATTAAATACCATTACTTCTGCCAGTACAAAGTATTGTATTGGGTTTGTATGGTTATATGCCTGCCCAGGCAGAGTAGGTTAACATCACGAAGGTGGAAGATTGGCAGGCAACAAGATGACAAACAAGGAAATATTTATGGGCGTCAAGGAATCTGGCCCGAAGCCAGTAGGAATATAGTCTTGGCGATATTATTTGGTAACATGATATAGGAATAGGTAATGGTACAGGAAATAGGGTGTATTTTAAATGGAGACGTACTGTTCTAACCTTCAGGTGCGCAGTGACATATCCAAACAACCTAACGACTACGAAATAGTAGACTTCATGGCGAACCGAGTGAAGAAGAGCCTGAAGGCTGTAGCTGGTATGGTGACGGGAGACGGCCAAGAGAACAGCAATGGTACGTTAATACTGAGTAAAGAACATGTGTGGATGCAGTGTTTCTGGCAATATGCAACAAAGCACGAAAACAAACATTTAAGCCAACTTAAAAACTATACGGCGCATTGTGTAAACAGCTGTCAAGGGTAATAAGTATTTACGTACCTTTACGACCCACTGCACGTAAAGATTATCTCTAATCAAGATTTTTAGCAATCATTTCTTGTGCTTTGGAACGTTTAGGGTTGAGTCGTTGATTCAGTATGCTAGATACATGTATGACTAACGTAATTTAGAAAGTACTACTTGTATATCATCCTTGCAAGCTATACTGTATAAAATGGTGAGTTGTATCTTAGAGGTATGTTTTGTCCCCCAGACCCAGTGTATATTGAGTACACGACTGAGTGTATCATAGACCGTGTGGACATGTTGTACCGGCGGGCCTCCCGTCTGTACGTACGGGACATGCTGGACGGACAGGCGGAGTCCATCGTGGACGAGTACATAAGGAGCACCTGGAGGAGGTACTTTTTTGGCGACGCCTCAGGGGCGATCCTAATAGTATAGCATGTAATTTTTGCAAGTTTGCAAGAATTCTAGGAATTTCACAGCCATACTGTCCACATGTTAATGAAATGTTAATATGTCTTGTCGGGATTGACAAATTGTCTTTTTTTGTGTGTTTCGTTAGATAAATTTAGTGGTGATCGACATAATAAAATGTATATCATGCAAACCAGTATCTAATTTGCAAAATTAATGATGAAAAAAAATCATGAAATTGTATTATGATACCGTGTGGCAATTGACTTGTGCTTACTGGTCTAACATCAGGATAGTGTACTATGTATATATGGTGGAGCTATACTTACTGATGGAAGAAGGGTCTAAATTTAAAAGTGATGACACCACCTTCACCAAAAATAACACCAGATGTTGGTTTCTCTTCTACCCTCTTTTCTGTAGGCGTCTCAGCATAGATGACGATTTTGACACGCCCCACTGGGACCCTGAAACTGTCAGTGTGAGCAGCTTTCACCACCAGCCTGGACCTACGACGGGCAAGTCTGATGAAGGATATGTGTACGTGGACCATTCGTAAACATGACAACTAATTGAAACAAGAAGAGATTTCAGCCTTTTTGATAAGTATTTGGGGGTTTTGTGACCTTCAAGCTCACCTCATTTCTTGTGTCTGATCTTTTGGCCTGTCAATCCTCCCCCTACCAACTTGCTGTCAACCTACTCTCAAGTTTACCCCATTTCCTGTGCCTGACCTTCTTTCTGCTTGTCAATCTTCCCACACCCACGTGCTGCCAACCTACTCTTTAAGGACAATCAGATACACAAATTCACAGTTGAGCCATCCAAAGCAGTACTTTGATACGCAGTAAATATAGACATATTTCCAACACCTTACAATAAATATACTTAACCATTTCTTCAGAATGATGGCTTGACCTATTGCATGCTGGCAAGCCTGAATGTCAGGTACACAGAAAATTTTACAAATACATATTTGTCACATTCACACGCACTGCCAGCTAGAGACAACAGCTAAAATATGATGCAAATTCAACCTGTTCAGATTTACAAACATACATGCAGTCGCTCATAGAACATTGCTTTAAATGTGTGAAATTGAAGTACCATGTAACTGTAAATGTATCTGTGCAATATGTGAATATATCCATTATCATTGCTATTAAGAGCCATGTTTAAACATGTAGACTTGCAGCATTGTTGTTCTGTGTTGCAATTTGGGTTTAATTGTATATCCATATTCTGCTATGCCGAGGCTTGTTTGACTTTTTATCTGTCACATTAGAGCTACAAATGCATGGCATAACGCGTGTACAAGTTGATTAAAAATGTATCAGTGGCATACAAATGTATTTTGGGTAACAGTGCATGTAGTTAGCTGTTGTTGCTGACTCACTAAACTATCGTTATCAATTTTGATTTGAAATAGCTCGGCTAACTGAATGCAAATACATGTACATGTTGTTTTAGACTGTTTTGTTATTCTTAGGCGTGCAGTACAAGGCTATTGACCTGTGTAAGAATGTAATCTGCCTGCAGTGGTAAAACACATGCTTGATGCGATGTTGTTGCAAGTAAAGACTGTTGCATTCTGACATGGGATCGTGTTTTTTCTGACTGTATTCAGTTTGTATTATTTGTGCTCCCGATAGGCCAAATTGACATCCTCTGAACACGCCAATATCGATGTTGGTACGTAAAATACATTGTCTACAAGTACAAAGTACTGATGCTCTTGATGTGATAAAATACAGAAAAACATTCTCAGTTCACACATTTTTTTATTTGCCTTATATAATACTAATAATAAACATCACATAGCAGTCACTCATTTTACAGCAAACAAAAGAAAAAAGTTATAAGTAGAAAGTTAACAGTAAGGACAAAACAGTAATGGCACATACAACTGGTCCATGTTGGAAAATTATCTCCAATACTTGTAGTTCAAATCATTTGCAATGATTTTTACATATTTCTAACATCTACAAAATTATATCCAGAATAGTTTAAAAGTTTGTCAGGAAGGAGTTGGACAGGACTTGACATGTATGTAAAAGTCACAGACAGATTACACAGAGTTGTAACCAATGATAATGTACATAGTGCTGGAGTAGCCTGGAAGCCATCTCTCAGCTCTTTCAGTCGCTTCCCTGACAAAAATACTGGACCTAAAGAATTTCTATGCACCAGGTGATGACATTACTTGATGAGCTAATGCATTCAACAGGGCCTCTGCTGATTGGATGACCTCAAACCTCTGCAGTCCAATCACTTGTGAGGTTTGGCCAGTCAGTGCGTCTTTTCAAAATCTGCAAAAAAGGTTCAAATGACTGGCAGGTAGACTTTGTGTAGGTTAAGTTTTTTTGCCTGGGAAGGGACCATGAGATCTTACCACAAAAAGTGAAAAAGGCTACTATCAAGGCTAGTGCAGGGTAGTAGCCTTTTTTGCGTTAGTAGAGTGATAGTAGCCTTTTCACTCTGAAAATGAGGTTATCATGCCACGGCTGCTGCCCTCTCAGATATGACAGCTGGGTCGATAGCGACACTTTTGGTGCTGTTGTTGGTCTTGTAGATCCCGACCAGGCGGTCAGCCAGCTCAAACATGTTGTTACGGAGTGAGATGATGATGAACTGTGCATTCTTGGTACGTTCCTGGAAAACAGCACGAGGGACCATTGCAGATGTTCAGATTTGTACGTAAAATTGTCTAACTTTACACACAAAATATACTCAGCCTCTTAGCTTTACACACAACCTTGGAATTTTATCTACTGGTCATGATGTTTCACCCATGTTTATTCAACTCAATTCAAAACTATATCACATGTCTACTACTCTTACAATCATAGGTTTAAAAGGTTTAAGGGCAAAACTACAAGACAGTACCATGTGGATGTAAATTCATATTATCATGATGGTAAAAACATACGCAGTCAATTTAGCTGAAGACCACTTGGGGGATCAAGAAAATGCTGTCAAAAAATTGTGATCACATATAGGCCAGGTGGTCCTTATGTAGAGGTGGTATAACTTATCAATAATAAGTGCTTTTAAAAAAAGAATGAAATAAAAAACAGTACCTTGATATAGCTGGCCACAATAGACACGTTCTTGAAGTCCAGAGCTGCATCGATCTCGTCCATGACATACAGAGGAGTGGGCTTGTAGTGGTGCAGGGCAAACACCAGGGCCAGGGAACTCAGGGTCTTCTCTCCTCCTGACAGGTTGGAGATGTTCTTCCAGCTCTTCTTGGGAGGTCGAACACTAAGGTTGTGGTTACAAGAAAGAGTGTTAAATATGCCTTCCTGCTGACACAATAGGAAATTAGTGGTAGTTGAGTTGCATGCATCTTCTATAAGATTCAGTAGCAAATTTAGTTAAAAAAAGAGCAAGCAATACATCTTTAAGACAAAAAAGTCTGATAACAAGAAATGTGGTAAATAATGTCTTACTGTTTTAAATCAACCACATTAATTTCTTTGCAAAGTAGATATTTCAGCTGTCTTCTAAAATACTCGTAGATGAAAACTACATACAACTTTGTAATACTTTTCTTAAACATTAAAGGCCTTGAAGATATACTGCATAAAGCAAGAGGTTACTACTCACAACTACAGTACTGGCATATTTAGTAATTTAGAGGACTCAATTATTTCTGTCTTATGTTTATCCTTTTTATTGAAAGTTTTGACATTGTGATTCTCCTATGCTCACTAAGTTGACACGTTTGGGAAAAGATGGGTCTGTTATCTAAGTCTTCCTTGTCAGCGTGCAAAATACCTGATTGCCCAGTTGCCCCGGGGCAACCAAATTTTACAAGGGGCAACCTATTTTTGAAAATAGGTAGCCCAGTGTGCCACCTGAATTTTAAGACTGCGACCCCTCCAAATCATGCCTACTTGGCTTGCACCACTGTATCCAGCAAATGCTTTTTAATTTTAGGTACTAGTATTAATGGCTATTACTAGTATCAGTTAACTAAAGGCTGTTAGAAATATTGTCAAAGGCTTATGTATGTAACATTACTTAATTTGAGGAAAGTAGTAACTTATAGGTGGGGCAACCTGAAATTCTGATGGGCAACCTAATTTTTGCCGTACATGTGTAGGTTGCCCACTGGGCACTGGGCAACCTGGTTCAAAAAGTATTTTGTACACTGCTTGTGTACCTGAAGACGATCCCCTCTGAGAAGGGGTCCAGACTGTCCACCAGTTCCAGCTCAGCATCTCCGCCCAGTGTGATCATCTGGTACATCTCCTTCAGCTTGTTAGTGATGACTCCGAACCCTGCCATGAACTCATCCAGCCGCTGCTTACGGAGGTCCTCGAAGGCCTTCCGCTGCTGGTCACGTCGACTCGTGATCTCATCAAGTTCTGAGACACGCTTCAGGTACATTTGCTCCTGAAATGGAATAAATTCTGATATTTTAAAAAACCTAGGTTGTTAGGTAGGGATTCTCTCATTTTCATAGACCTTGGCTGAAGTAATCCAACATATTTATACGGTTTTACAATGTAAAACTGAAATGCATCAGGACTAGGGCTGTTTCCAGTACCATTGTCTGATTGCTTGTGGAAAAGGGACAGATAATTCACCTAATCTAATAAAAATGTTCCGCTGAAAATACATGAAATTACGTTTAAAAGGCAGATAAATTTAGCTGTCTGATAAAAAATTTTAATGCCTTGCCAGAGGTTGATGCAAAAAACCGTAAGGTATTTTTTTTCTTTTTTGGGGTCTCAGACTTGCAGTTTATGATCATGCCACAAAAGCAACCACGGCCAATCACAGGACCACCCTGTTGAAATGTACAGCCTCCTCCATACAGTCCTGCCATTGGCTCACCACAGAACTGTGTTAATATGGAGTTGGCATGTGTAGGATTGCTGTTTGCTTAAATGGCATGCTGGGCATTGAACTTAAAAACCCAGCACCTATGCCACAAAGCATGGTGGGAATGATCATGTGACTGTGTTGACATGGAAACAGAATGTGGCTCAGACCTTTTACTACCTCATCATCGACCCTGGAAATGCATCTACATGTACATGTAGGTTATCAAGGAATCTGCAGAAAAAAACTTCAGAATGTAGATCTGCAGGTTTTGCTTTGGCCAGTTAGGAACCTGAACATTTTATTTTTCTTAGGCCTAATATGTTTAGAATCAGAATGTTTGAAATCCAAATGTCAGGTTGAAAATTTTATGGCCTTGCTACCAGTGGACCACCAAAAAAGACTTTGGCAATCTTAAGGCTTAGGGATTCAACCTGTGATCCAACTTATACAACAGTTTATAAAAAGTGAAACTTGCATGAGGACACTTCTATTTTCAAGGTCAATATTGGAAAACCAATTGTACAACATTACATCAGGTGTCAGATCATGTAGCTAGAAAAGTTCGATCAGCTCGAAAAAATACCTTGCAGGGATCCACCCTCCAAAAAAGGCTAGGGTCCTCATTTTTTTCTAGGGTCGGGCGGAAAACAGGAAACACAACATGTTTTCCCCAAGCCCTACCTTTTTCCTGTACTCGTTGATGGCAGCCATGTTAGGTTTGAACTCTGCTTGTTTCTCCTCCTGTACGGTGATCTCAAACTGTAGCTGCTGTGCGTTGATGGCACTGATCTCCTCTTCTGTCAGCTCCTGCAGCTCACGCGGGGCCTTCTCATCATCAACCTCATGCAGAACCATCTTCTCTATCTATGGGAGGGAAAAAATTCATTGTGGCATTGAGTGGCTGACAAGACCAGCATGAATGAGAATTAAGGGTTGGTGGGTTCTATTTCTGACGTTTCTTGCTAGACGTTATGTCCTTGGGCTAGGCATTTACAGAACAATTCACTCCACTTAATGCCATACCTGGGCTGCGGTAATGTTTGTTACGGGTGTTTCAGCTTGTCATGTCTAGCCATAACAGTTATCACACAGGCTTCCAAAAGTTCCATAGAAATTAATACATTGGAACATGTTTCGTGTGTGCGGCTTTAAACAATTTGAATACCCGATTCAGATGTTGGAATTGATGTTGTTACAATCTTTTGCTTCCTACCTGGGACACCAAATTTTTGCACAGTTTGCATCGAAATCTGTGTTTATTCAGGTGGGTATGACATAAATAAGATACAACACGATGTATTCTGCCCTTCAGCCCTTGGGAAATCCAACCTGCGGTCAGGCTGGTACCCCGATTGATACAGAACACACCGTGTTGTACTCTATAAATCGTTTACCTCCTTTTTCCAGTACTTGATCTTGCCCTGGTTCTCTTTGACTGCATTAACTTTTTCCTCCAGTTGGTGCCTGATGTCCACATGAGCACTCTTCAGCTCATTCTGTTTGGCCTCCAGACTGTCCAGCTCCTTCTTAATGTCTGCTACTACTGCCTCCACTTCCTGCATCTTTTCCTGGGAAGCACAATTTTAAAGGGTTGAGGAAATCTTCTTTGAAATCTCCATCAGATATCTTTATCAGATACCACATTGCAAACTTAGAGTCTGAATTGAGTAGCTTTCGGTTCATTACTAGCAAATCGTTCTTAAAATGTAAGATAACATTCAATATCTCCAAAGAATAAAAATCAAAATACATACTAAAAGTCTTAAGGGGGACTTGTGCAGTTTCTAAGATGTAAGAACTACTGATCATGAAGACATACCTTGGACTCTGTGAAGAGGTTCAAGACCTCTGTAGCCTTCTCTTCTAGTTGGGAGAAGTCTGCCTCGAACTGATCGATGGCCGTCTTGTTGTCTTCTATATCCTTCTCCAGCTTCCCAATCTTCTCCTCAGTTTTGGTGATGTTTCTGAAGGAGGAATAAAAGACAAGATTCCTTCACTCTCTTTTACTAGGAGAAAGCTGTTTTTGTAAAAGGTTCATAGTAAGGTTCAAACAAAAAGTAATAGCTATCAATTTTATAACACTGAAAACACTTTTTCAGACCTTTTAGCAGTTTTGTTGGCGACCTTGGCCTTGGTGACTGCTGCGTTGGCCTCGTCAATTTCCTTGTTGACCTGGTCCAACTTGTCCTGGGCTGACTTCATCTTACTGTTACTGATGTCCATGATCTTCTTGTGAAGGCTGTTCGTACATGGTGTCAAAAAATTCATTTATATTCTGTTAAAATTAAATCAAAACACTTTTCAATCAAACAAACATTAAATGATAACTAGATGACCATGTTCAGCTTTCCTTGTAATAAAAAAAGTCATACAAGTTCCTACCTTTGTACTTCCGCCTCCACTTTTGAAGATGCCTCTGCAGCTTTTTCATATTCTGTGAAAAGACAAAAAGCCAAAAAGCAGATGTCAACATCTCATAAGAATCTTACGTTTTAGACATCCAGAAGTATTTGTCCCATTACCTGTGTCCTTTAATTAAATTAGAGCTGTCATTCTAACAGTCAATCTTCCTCATACCAACATGCTGTCAACCTACTAACAATATGAAGTTCACCACATTTCCTGTGCCTGACCTTTTAACCTGTCATTATGCCTGTCAATATTTACCCAACCCACTTGCTGTCAACCTACTCTTAAGTTCACCCTATTTCTTGTGTCTGACCTTTTGACCCATCATTCTGCCTGTCAATCTCACCCCCCAAGAAGTAAAAAGTCTTGTCACTATTGACCTTTCTTGTGAGCAGCCAGAGTTTTCTCCAGCCTGGCTTGTTGTGCCTTGTCTGGTTCTGCCTCCTTGACCTGCTGCTGTAGTTCTGTAACCTGCTGCTTCAGGGTCACCTCCTGTTCTGTCAGGGCCTACATGTACACAAGGGTTTGGTTCTGGTTGTGAGTATTAGTACTAAACTGTAGGGATGCAGTGCCCCTAGCAGATTACAAAAGAACTGCAGAAATGCTAGAGACTATACAGGTAACAAACTAAGTTTTATACCATTCCCTATCATCTTCATCATTGTCATGTATCTTTCATAAATTTGAACATAAATCGTAATTTTCTTTCACAGTATAAGGAAAGGAGGAACGTTTTCACATGTTTTAAATTTTCAGTTGAGACAATTTCAAAGTATATACATGTATTCTGAGTTAAGAATTCATGGTGGACAGGTAATATAGTAATGCCACTGCAAAAGTTTCATGATTTACAGTAACATCATAATATAATAGATGAAAATGAACTTGACATTCATCCTTTCTCCTGAAACTTTTCACATGGACTTAAGAACAGGGAAAGATTGATGGTTAACCTTGATGTCCATGTCAAACTTCTTCTGGTCCATTTTAATCTTGGTGAGTTCCCTCTCCAAACGTTGTACAGTCTCCTCCAGGCCGTGTTTCCTCTCCTTCAGCTGCTGGGCTTCCTGTATGTATGATACCAGAGTGTTAGCAACCATTTTTAGCTCAAGGCTAGGGGTCCTTCCCAGTGTGAGTGGATCAAACCTTGCAGTTGGGTGTTACACATCCTATACTATATAGGTGGTTTACCAGTTATACGAAAAGAAAAAAACTGAATTATAAATTCCTCTATCTATAACATATAAGAGGACTAAGTAAGTAATAATATATATGCCTCACCTGAGACAGTCGTGCAAGCTTGTTCTCCATGTTCTCCACTTCCCTAGGGTCGAAGTCACTGACAACAGAGGACCCCATCCTGCCTTTAATTACCTTAGTACCACCTCCAGTCATAGTTCCTACAGAAAATAAACAGGAGATGAAAATTTGTCTAAATCCTGAATAGTGATGCATACCGGTTCACTGGACTTGGATCCAGACTTGTAAGAATGTTTAGGTTCAAGTCCAAAAAAACCTAAACGTCAAGAAGTCCGGCTAAAATTGGGTTTAGGTATGCATCACTAATCCTGAATGATAAAGAATCCTGAGCTCCTATTGGACTGATTTTCCTATAGTGATAAAGAATCCTGAGCTCCTATTGGTAGTTCTGGGAATGGGATGTTCTCTCAAGTTAGAGGTCAATGGCCAAGTTCTGAGGGTCATTCGGCATTAGAGATTGTGCAACACAGACTACTCAAAGTCAAACATGAAACTACTAAGACTGTGTCAGGAATCAGGATGCACGTTATACCTGCCACGTCGATGATCTGTCCTGTGAGTGTGACCACCCGGTAGCGCTGGCTGCCCTGGAAGGCACATCGCGTGGCCTGATCCAGGTTATCTGCCACCAGGGTGTCACGCAGGGCATAGTAAAACGCAGGCAGGACCTTCTCATCTTTCACCTTCACAAGGTCAAACAGACGGGGGATGTTCTCTGGACTAAAGGAAGTGTGGACAAGTTTTAAGTTTCAGGGTGGCATCATTAATTTTGTATATCCATCAATAATTTATTTATACTCAAGTCTAGAACCTGTTCACATTTTTTATTCACTAAAAATGTGTTAATTCTACCACAAAGACAAAAGTTTAGCACTGAAAGTGGACAAAGATTAAAACATTGTATGGGTATTGAAGTTAGCACCTGATGCTTTTGGAACTATGCCTAAGTTGACATTCAATTAGTGTATAAATTAAATGTATGAAAACTTACGTCTTGATCTTGTTCTGGCAACTTGCCCTGTACCTTTGTTGCTGAAATAGAGAAGAAGTCATGTCATTCAAATAAAAACTTACAATTATTAATGCTCAAACTACTGCTTGTTTTCAAGTATCTATCAATTACATGTACTACCTGTTGCCTTTCCAATGTCCTCCTCTCCGCAGGCTTGCCTGCAATTCTCCTATGAAGTGCTAGGTGGTGTTTATGACTTGAAGGTAAACAGACTTACCTGGTCCAGACCCAGGAACTTAGCCCTGCCGATGTCGGCCTTCTTGAGGAAGTTGACACACTTCTGAGCCGTGTCCATGGTGTCTACCAGGATGGTGTCCAGGTTGCCACACGCCGTGGAGATCGCTACGTCGTACTTATCATCGATGGCTCCTAGGTCACCCTGATGACACCGCAAAAATCATAGGCATTCGCCAATAAAATAACCATTCAATCAACCTGGCAAATAGGTTTCTCAAAAATCTCAAAAGTGGAGAATCATTCTAGGGAATTCAATTAGTATTGGAATTTGTTTTTTCATCTATTTTTATCTGCAAATCATTGGCATTCGTCGATAAAATAACTAATCAATCAACCTGGCAAATAAGTTCCTCAAAAATCCTCAAAAGTGGAGAATCATTCCAATTGGTATTGGACTTTGTTTCCATCTATGGGTTACATTGCAGGTCCTTAGAAAAATTTGAAGTATAAAAGAAATACAGTATTAAGTACTTCAAAGTTATCTGAACCAGACGGCATGTGATCATGTCCATACATTGTAGCAATACTGTACGTGTAAATTGTGTAACTTCCGTGGTGGTTTTATTTTGTAGAGGGAAGGGAAGAGAGGTTTCCACCGCGTTTCGAAAGTGTGGTTGAAACAATTCTGTGGTTAAACAAGGATGTATTCACGGTGTCATGAATTCGCAATAAGGGGGTGAACTTTGAGAGTATCACAATTTACAGTAGTTTCCACTCTCCATATACAAGTTTGTATCTGACTTAACTGACCAGTCTCCCAAAGATGCCGGGTATCTTCCCAGACTGCTTCTGTAGCATGAGAGCCTCCAGAACCTTCCCACGACTCCTTTGTGCCTGCATGGAGCTTCGGGCGTCTTCCACCTTCATACGGCATTTTCTCAACTGAAAGTAGACATATATCTTTTTTAAATGTAAAATAAGAAATCAGAGATTTCATACCTGTGTAAAATATTACTTTTTGGTAATTTAATTCCTGTGCTGTGCATTATCGTTTCTGCTTTCCCTAAAAATTTTTCCTCTGGCACCTTGAATCAGGACCTAACTTCCTGTATCTGACCTTTTATGGTCTGTGGTTAGGGAATTCTTCCCACCCGTGAGCTGTTACTCAACTGTACAAACACATCAGGAAACACAAAAAAAAACAATACCTTTGTACACAAAGGTAACGAAGGTAAAAATCTATGAAATGTTTCTGAAGTCCTTTTATCATTCAAAAAATTTGTTACCTGTTTGTTACTGATGGTAAACTATGCCTAAGCTTGTATGCAGTTCTGCTGCAATGTGCTAGGAGGTGCTTATGAAAGGAATCAAGTAACACTAAGTCATACAGACCTCCTGTGCCACCTCTGCCTCATCCTTTGTGACTTTCTCCAGGTCAGTCCTGGCTTTCTGTAGTTCCTTCTCACACTCTGGGATACGCTTCTCCACGTCCTTGATGCCACTGGAAACCAATCATTAAGGTCACATTTCTTCCTTATTCTCTTCATATCTAGATAACTGCCTTACTGCATTCATGCCTCACAATGATCAACAAGAAATCAGTGATTCCAGACCTCTGGAAAGTGTTTTGAGTTTTCTTGAATGTACTGGAACAGTGGAGGGGATTGAATGGTGCAATTCAATCAATATTACACCACTTCCTGAATATCTCCTCATAGTGCCCAATTACCCCCATCCGGCACATTCTGGGTGACCACCCTATCAATCAACTGTAATAATTGCCTCCCACCCACTGTAAACTGTACCTAATATAATAGGACAGAGACACAAATTCAAACCACAATTCAGCCACCTGAATTTCTGTCTACAAATGTCTTCTTTTATTCACTATTCCACTGTTATCTTATATCTTACCTTTTCCTGTCCTTGAGAGTGTTGACTGCAGTGTCCAGGTTCTGCTCTGCCCCCTGCAGCTGACTGACAGCGTTGTCATAGCGACTGAGGTAGATGTCCAGCTCCGACTGGGCCACGGCTGTCTTGGACTTGGTCTCATTCAGATCCTTCTGTAGACCCATCAGGACAGTCTCTTTTTCCTACAGAAGTCCAAATAAGGGAAGATTGTTACTGCAGGTTTATAATGCATATCATATAGCCAGAAGTCGTTGACCAATCAGAAGGCTTCATTTCCCACAGGTTATCAGGCCGTAACCTCAAAAGTGGTCGGTTATTAGAATAACCGACCATTTTTTGGACCGTACCATTATACAGGGGACAGGACACTTTCGGTAATGTTAAGACTTGTAGTATGTATGTACATGTATTAAAAGTTCATTTTGGATAATATAATTTATTTGAAAATATAACACAATTGAAAAATTTAATTCTGCAGCCCTTGAGACCTGTCTGCAGTTTTGCTGCCAAGTGCTAGGAGGTGCTTCTGTGTCAGTACTAACCTCCTTTTCCTTCTGCAGTCCCTGAGTCTCAGTTTTAAGGCTGGCCATGACCTCGGCAACCTTTTCTTCCTCCACCTTCTGTTTCTTCTCCAGGTGTTCAATTTTCTTGGTCTGTTCTTCTATCTCCTTCTCACTCTTGCCAGGCACCAGGCGCAGTTCCTCCAGCTAGGAAAAAAGGTGGCAAGGTGGTTTTGTGGTTAGGACTGTTGACTTAGTGGTTCTGGGTTCGAATCCCCAGCAGAACCTAATAACCTAAAAGTCAATTTTCCTAGGCCTAAGCCTCAAGCACCAAACCTCTAGATCTAGATCTACAAGTAAAAAAAGTACCAAGATCGACAGCAAACCTTGCTCCAGAAGGGAACGTACCTTCTTTTTCTCCGACTCCAGGGAGGCCCTGAGTTTCTTATCCTTGCTCTTGCCGTGTTTCAGGTCCTCTCGAAGCTTCACGTCTTGACGTTCAAACTCAGAGAACTTCTCCTTGTTTTCTGTACACTCGTTCTGGAGTTTCTCAAGTGCCCTACAAAAGATTAAGATTTTTAAACTTGACTAATCCAGTGAGACTAGTACTTGTTCCTTGAAGAAGACCAGAGTGACTGGACGGAAGCTCTGAAACAAAATATCTAACTTTAAACAAGTTACATGTATGGCAATATGTTTTTGACAACATATATATAGGGTTCTCTCAAATGTTTCAAATGGGCTGAACACTTGGAATAAAACAGCAGTAAAGAATGACTGACTTGTTGGCCTTCTTGCTGTCCTTTGTTTTGGCCTTCTTTTCTTCCTCCAGTTTCTGTAGTTCCTCGTCTGTTCCTGCCATCCCTTCTTTAATCTCTGCCACCTTTGCTTCTGCCAGCTTCTGATTAGCTGTGCACTCATGGCTTAGGAGAGAGAGACATATCATCATTAAGAAATTCTAAGTGATCAGATTGATAGAGATAGAGAACATGATAGTAATTTTTCCCTGCTTGTGTACTTACATGTAGACCTGGTACAACTTGTGCTTCCTGATGGTGACTTCATTTTCTGCAGCCAGCCAGGCCATGGCTTCATTCTTAGACCCCTCCAGCTCATCCTTCTCCTTCTCCACTGCTTTTACACGATTCAACTGTGGAGAAAACATCATCAACTTACTTTTTAGAAGTTTAATTCCTAAATTTGCCCTGCACTCAGTAGGTTGTGAGTTTGATCCACGGCAGAGTCATACTCATAGCAAAGACTTTAAAATGTTACATACTGGTACTGCTTTCTTTGCTTAAAACCGTTCCTTACCTTCTCTCCCCTCTGTTCGTTGAGTTCCTCCACGGCTTTATCCAGCTGTTCGATGGGTTGCTTGAAGCGCGAGCTGCCGATGATGTCCTCCAGATACTCCAACATCCCCTCATCATGCTCTGTCTGAGCCTTGGGCTTCATCATGGAGATCTGTTCTACCTCTCCCTGTCAGGGGAAAATTACAGTGATTATTCAAAGTCCTAGACTTTGGCTAGCTTGTGTTGCATTCAAGAGGTCCTGGCTTGAAATCTGGGCTGGGTCCAAATACCCTCTGTATCCTGCACCAGACAAATTTTAACTCAGAATTTAGGAATTATACTCAGAATTTAGAAAGTATAGATCATACTATCAGTAAAAGCTGTTCAGATTATCCATTGCCATTATTTTTTTAAGTGATGACAGTCAATGTAGCAAATAAAAATACATACACCTACATTTGTACCTGTGTATACAAACCCAGTACATGGACCAGTGCAGGTTAGGTGCTGGTAGACATCAGAAATGCCTGCAGCCTGCACTAACTTGCATATTCAGGTGGTATTCCAAGGATATAGATAGACAAAATTACTGTAGTGTTATCAGAGTAACAGACATGTGTTGATATAGCAGCATAATAGACATACTTACCTGCAGGATGAGGAACCTATTATGGTCCAGGTCAATGCCGTGTCCACGCAGCAGGGCAGCAACTTCCTTAAACTGCATCCTCCGCCCGTCCACGTAGTACGCAGACGTGTTGTCCTTGTTGGCAGTACGGGAGACAACGAACTTGCTGCCAGGGACAACCTCAAAATCATCGCCAGGCTGGAGCAAACAGAAATTTGTTTGTCAAGGGTGTTCAGACAGGGAACATAATTTCTTCTGCTGTCAGTTACATAATTACTTCTGAGATGGAAGTATTGTTTTGGGTGGCACTGGGACCCAGAGTTTGTATGTATCTTGTCCTTAGCAGCAAGAATTGAAAAGTGCACTGGCAGAAATTGGGTTTAAGTTGATTTTGACCCAGTGTGCCCTATGTGGTAGGAGGTCACCAGGCATGTGTAATCATGGTATGAAACTTAGATAGAATTAAACCCTGGCACAATATACCTGAGAGTAAGTTACGTCATACAATCATATGAGTAATATCCACTTTCACGTTCTAGTGTCATAGCTACAAACAGTAAGAAATTGTAATAATAGGTAGAGGAATGTATGCTTATTTCATACATACTGACTGACATCAAATAAAGAAACTTATTGCCATACAAGTATTGTAATTTGCAGATTATAAGAAGTCCATACTGCCCACAGTTTAGTCTTGCAGACTGCAGGCCCTGACACTTCATGTTGCTCTAGCATGCTGTCACAGCTCACAGTTAGAATGAACATGTGTGCTGTTAGGTGACTTGGTGTGATCATGGTCACACCATGCATGCATCTCCTAATCTGGAGATCATATAATAATTATTATATATTTGATCTATACTAATATCAGCCTTATCTTGTTTAAAGTTAAAACTTTTGGTCCAACACAAAAATTCTCCCACCTAGAGCTTTCGACCAGTCAGTCTGGTCTTCCTCATCAGTAGACCGACCCGGTGAAGCTTGTCACGTGGCTTCTTTGTGATGTCAACACTGGGTCAAAGGTGGTCTACTGAGGAAGACCAGAGTGACTGGTCGAAAGCTCTAGGTGAGAGAATTTTTTGTGTTGGACCAAAAGTTTTAACTTTAAACATGTAACTACCAACACAGATGAACTTTCATGGTAGTATCAGCCTTACCTTGTCCAGTATCTTCTGGAAGTGCACACTGACAGTACAGCTGGTCAGGTCTCTGTGTTGGTCAGAGTTGTGGATCAGGACTGAGATCTTCTTGGAGCGGATCTTCTGGGCACGGTATCCGAACACAAACAGCATGGCGTCAATCACGTTCGACTTCCCGCTACCGTTGGGGCCGACGATGCATGAGAAACTCTGAATAGGGAAGAAATTGTAAACAAGTGTTAACAACTTACATGTGTGTTTGTGTTACTGTCTTTCCAGACAAAGTAGGTTGACAACACATGGGTTGGGAGAAAAATTGATATGCAGAATGACAGGTCAAAATCTCGGACAGGATGAATGTCTCAGAATCTGACCGGGAGCCAGAAGGTATTTGTGGTCGTCATGGGGGAATTCAGGAAGCCAAGTTTTGCATACATACTTCCTAGAATTCTCAAATCTCTGGTTTCTTCTTTACCTTATGGAATGGTCCCAGAATCTGTTTGCCAGCGTAGGACTTGAAGTTCTCATTGACAATGTGTGTGATGACCAGCCTCGGGCCTGTACCATCTGCCTTCATGGGCGGGGGTGGGGGAGGAGGGACAGTGATGTGCAGCACCCCCGTGTCAATGACAGTGCCCTCCTCTGTGAGAAAAGATTAGAGCAATGTTACAAATATATATTTTAGTACTTCTTAAATGAATTTTATAGCACATTCATGTGATGATAGTGAGTCAAACCTACACAATGGCCTATGTGTCCACTTTTTGGTGGTCCCTTACGTAATTTCCCCCATTGACACAAGCATTCATCAAGAATCCTGTCTATGGTGACCACCTGTCCACATAGACCAGATTTTCGCAGTCCCCTGAGTGCATGGTCTTCTTCAGTTCTTGGGCAGTTTTGATTATCACTCTGCATTCAATATAATTTGGAAGTTACCATACCTATAATGTTATTTTACTTCGCAGTTCTGGGTTTATGGAAAAAGGAGTCCAGTCCGATTGGCGGATGAAGTGGTCAACTGACGAGATTTCCAGGGCCAATCCTGCTTGCAAGTAGCCTGATTAAATCGCTTTATGGTTGCCAGGATACATAGGTGTCCTGTATGTATAGAAACTACTTTTGGGTGGTCCCAAGAGGTGTAAATCAGTTGTCCGCTATTCCTCACCCAAGGCTGCCTGAATTACGGGTTAAGGCGGCATATAGTGAGTCATATATGCTAATTCAAGTTCCCATACAAACTCTAAATAGTCATAAAAACTCTAAGTACCCATAGAAACTCTAAGTACTCATAGAAATGCGAAGTACCCATAGAAACTAGAAGTACACACACAAGAAAAAATTGTGCCTATGGTCTTTCGTAAAATTTCGTAGAAACCAAAATCGGACTGGACTGCTTTTTCCGCCAATCGGACTGGACTCCTTTTTCCATCAACCCGGCAGTTCTCTACTTTGTCTATTCAGTACGTACCTTCCTCAGGTTGCTCTGGCACAGTTCCCTCCTCAACCCCCTCCATTGGAGTAGTCTCTTCCATTTCTGTAATATTCATAATAAAAATGCATATGATAAATTTTATCTTCGAAATAAGTGCAACATACACAATGCGGTGGGGATGTGTGTCCCGAACTAAAAAAAGTTAGGAGAGAACTAGAAAACAGGCCGACTTTCAAATCAAAAATTATTTATGTCTATGTCTGTGGACTGAGTGAGACTTTTCCAACTGTGACGTCCACAAAGACCATTTTTCCAGTAACGAATGGAGAATGACAGTTACTCTTTAGTTGAAGTTGAGCTCACAAAAGTCTTTTTCAAACGAAATTTGTTTCAACGTTTTCATGTAATGTATTCCTGTACATTTTTGGACCTGCATACGAGTCTGCATACACAAAACATCAACTTCGCTCAACTACAGTACTTCCTGTCAGGTTAGCGAAAACAAAGACGTCGTTACACAACGCAGGAACACTTTCAGTTAGAACTACACGTATTTAGCTTACCTATATATAATATAGATGTCCTAAAGGTACCTATAAACGTGCCTTCTTATGTAATTCTACGTTTACTTACCGAGGATGTTGTGAAATGTTCACTCACCGATATTTTTGTCAACCCGAAAATGGCGCCTAAATTCCGTTACCGCATAGCATCATGGGAAATTGAGTTTGTGAAAATGGTACATTTTTGTTTATATTCTGTTTTAAAAAGCCCAAATACAACAAATTTTTTACAAAAAATAAATCGATCGGCTATAAATCTGTTCCATAGTCAAAACACATAATCATGATATCATCACGGAAAAGGTCAGCAGTTGCAGGTCAATAGAGGCTATACTATCTTGAAATTGGGGACGTAAATTGAAAAAAAATATTTCAAAACCCCATATATCTGAGGTCAATATGACAGATATATCGATGTAATAGCTTTATATTATGTCAATAGTAATACTAGATTTGTGTTAGGTCATTATAACTATCGTAGCGAGATTCTAAAATGTATTTTGTAATTTAAAAATATATTTTCACCCCTTTTTCTATATCGGCTGGTCCATGGAGTCACAATGTCACAGTGGGGTCTCCTCTCCGGAAGTTGGCGGCCAAGTGAAAAAGCGAAGCGAATTTGTTTTCAACTTTCCGCCAAGGTGGAGTTGTTTTACGGGGTCTCCCAGATGTTGCGCCCTTGTACAGAGCCTAGATGAGCTCCGACAGGCTAGCTAAGATCTAAAAAAAGCCCCTACCGTGCACGGTGAAGCGGATACCGCGCGCGCTCATGCCTGTTTTCGGCTGGTGGGCCATAATGTCCCGTAAGACGAAATATGTTTTCATCCTGGCGATCCTAGTGGCCGCTATTGTCGGTAAGATCTCTTATTTTCATCCCACTAATATCAGTTTCTTCTTGGTTTCTTATAGGTAGGAAATTTAATTAGCCGTGTCTCGTTTTTTATGCTAAAATTATGTTCTTATCACAATTTTTGTATGCTAGAAAAATGGTCGATTTCCTGGTTATACTACAGTGTTGACATTCGCGGGAAAGTTACCAGCTGGTCAAACTTACATCATCTAAAAGTGTTCCAGTAAAGCAAAGACGTCTGTTTTCTCATGCTAATTATAGTCTTTGTGAAGCAAGCTGCTTTTCTCCAAACTGGGAACAGTTCAAATTATCACTATAGTAATATTTTTTGCACATAATTTGTCACGATAATTTGTTTTTATTAACCATCGATGTACAAGTTGTAAACAAGTTTATTATGTTTACACTGTGGATAGTTTCATAGTTTTACAGAATATTATTACTATTCAGTTGAAGGAGGTTAAATCTCCTTCCTTGATCAGTTCAAATTATCGTTACAATTAGTTTTTTCTTGTGCATTGGCAATTTGCAATGTTGTGTTTACACAGCTAACGTTATAAAGTACAACATTCATTTCCTTAGCTTGTAACGTTTATGTGTTTTTGTAATACAGGATATGTGTAAGGATATATGGAGTTATTTACAACTACTTGTATATGTTTATGGATTTGTTAGGACATGTAACAGTATAATTGTAATCATGTAAGCTTCAGCGTACATGTACATAATAACATATCCTGTTACATTTTGCCTGACCCTGACCCTCCTGACCTCAATGAAAAGCAGCCAGCAGGCCAATTTAAGTATTTCAAGAGTTAACAAGATATGCTCAAACAACAGTTATATGCATACACAACATACTTAAAAATGCAGAATATGCATACTATAAATTACAATTTTTTTGTGGTAGATTTCTATATTTGCGTTTTTCGTGGTCACTTCTGTACTGAGAACTCATCATTATCGTGAACAAATAATTCGCCATCTTTTTTCTGCACCTGCTGCCACCGCGAACAAATACATGTAGTTCTCGCGAACATGTCCATTTTTCTCAGACCGCAAACTTTTTTTCCCGCGAAAAGTGATTTACAGTATCTACGTTTCTTCACACATTTAAAAATATTTTTCCTAAGCACATGAATGCTTCCATGCGCAACTTTTGGCACCAATACCAGTGCCTTTTTCCCAGCAGTATTGAATGCACCACATTCTGGAAAGTCTTTCCTTTGATGAAAGTTTGAATGTAGGTCAGGCTTTCCAGACTGCCAACCTTCATACACAAATTTCCTACATGATCTGTGGTTTTTGGCAACAACTCAAGGTTGTGGCAGAAAAAGCGAGCGTCATTGTCAAATAATCCCTGGCTGCGGTTGGCCTCATGCCTTTGTAATGTTTGATATATTAGTAACTGTACAAGGGAACTTTTGGAAGCCTATCGTACATGTGATTGGTAGTTATCACATGGACCAGAACACCTGTACCAAACATCATCAGAGCCAAAGTATGACATATGAAAAATTGGAGTGCGAATTCTGTTTTGGACTGCTGCATTGTTTTTCTGTATTTTTCTTTGTCAAGGATTTGATTTTGAACCCACTTGCCAGTTAAAATGATAGTTTGTACAACTTTGTATATAGTAATATTCTTTGTTAACGACAAACATACTTAGTAGGGTAAAGCTTTGTCCATCCAAAAAATTAACCAAAATGTGATTACTTTTTCAATAGCTTATATATATACAATAATGCAACTGTAGCATTGACAAGAAAATATCTTTATGTACACCTTGATACTCGATTATAATCTGCTAAGATGAAAGAAAGGAAATGTTGTCAACAAACTGGGCTGTGAGTGAGTGTGATACTGTTGTGAAACTGTTGCCAATGTCCCGGGGTTACAGAGATCCAGACTGGGTAGGTGGCCTGTGTTTTGGTTTGGGCTGTTTCCCAGAAAATGTCTGGAGTCTTAATCCTCAACCTGACTGGAATTAGAGACCCCAAATTAATTTACGTACCGTGTCAAACTTCCACAGTAGCAGCAACCACAGCTATCGTTAAGTTACATTTCTGACAGATACAATTTCCAAATTTCCTAGGAAGTTTGATTCAGTGATAGTACATCCATACATGTAAGCATGTAAAATGATTTTCATGTATCCTGTCTAACATTTAAAGGAGGTATATTAAACCTTGTTAGTTTGCTCATACCAAATATTTTGTCTATGACATATCGGCCTTTGTAAGGGGGAAGAACTTGTAAAGTTTGTTTTGACTGATCTTTTCATGTCCTACAATGTTTTCATTCTAATTGGTAACAGGCTTGGTGTGTTTAGAAGGTAAAGTTACCGGAGCTAACATGCACTGTATATTAAGCATGCAAGTTACAAATGTACATGTCAGTCTAGTGCATTTATGATTTATCACAATTATAGTAGCAACAAATGAGAGAGACTTCAACCATCAATCATTGGAAATTCGGAATTCAGTAAGTGATTAAATTACATCATAGTTAAGTTCATATAATCCCCTCCAGAGTTCCAATACATTCACAAAAACCCAAAACACTTCCTGGTGATCTGTGAACTTCAAGGTCATGAAAAACTCATTAGATACATTTGTACGTGTTCATGTTGTTTTGTCTGACTTTGTCTGTTAAGTCTGACATTCACATTCTTTTGACTTTCTGTAATCTTAAAATTCTGTATTAATTTTTCCTGCAATAAAAAGATCTTCTCTAGCTCTTTGGATATGAAAACATTGGTATCCACAATGCAACAGTATTACCCAGCATGCAACCTGGAGCAAACAGTTTGGAACAAACTCAAACAACATTTGAGCTAGGAGACTACGTACTAGTGTACATGTATATGATTGCTATATCATGAAAACTTTGTTATCCAGAATGCAACAGTATTACCCAGGATGCAATCTGGAGCAGGCAATCTGGAAGAAGACCAATCAATATTAGATCAGATTGCTGCTTTCTTTACAATTACTTGCTCAATTCATAATAATTTGGATTTAAGCCCAAAGAATGCCCTGGAGTAGATCCATGCAACATGAGTTACAGCCAGACAGTGTTTATGTTGGAGAAGCGTGCAGTTGTCTGTAACAATCAACAATTCAATCATTTAAAATTCTTCTGAATGCCACTAGTACAATGAGAGACCACCTATAGACTATACTAAGTATATTACCACTTTGTTACCTAATGAAGCTTTAATTTACTTCCCAAATACTGAGCCTTGAGGTTAGAATGTATCATCTTGGCAACGTTCTGGAACAAATTAGCGATACACCGCATAACTTGTAGGGTTGATGCAAAACGTTTGCGGCATGTTTACAACTTCTCAAAGACTGACAGACATTCTTTGCCAAGAGGGGAGGCTAGGGTCCCACCACACTGGTCACGTAAGCCTTGTACTAAGTTGTAGTAACCTCAGAAGAGAACATTCAAGAAGGATGCCTGTACGTGTGGGGAGGGGGCACTGAGAAATTGAACATGTAATGCAGGTATTTCCTGTCCAGTATTACTTAAGTTCAAGGTCACGTGAGCATATGTACAAGTATATGTACAAGTACGTGTACCTTATAAGTTCTATGATATGGCTAAGTCTGCGGACATTTTTTTGCTCACTTACTAGTACATACATCATGCACAACAATATTCCAGGGTAAAAATACAATGAATGAATGAATGAATGATACTTTATTTCCGTGTCGTGCGCTATCCCGCGCCCAGCCCGTGTGGGCTTATACGACACCGATTCAATAAATTATTTATACATAAACAAAAGACGATCAAAGGTACAGGTAACAGAATCCAAACAAAATATGAACGCAAATAAAGGTAGGCTATATACAATAATGGTGAACAAATAAGTGAACTCATAGCAGATCGTAAATACAAATAAACAAATCTGTACATAATACAATTGTTACATTAGTGAATCCCACAAATGTATAGAATTTCAACTGTGATCTTTAATTAGATTCTGTCTAGCATTTGTTTACAACTTGGTTAAGTATCGAGGTTCAATCCTTGGTCAGATGTGCTCGAAAAGCCACTATACATGTACATGATGTATGTCAAAAGCATCTATCCACATGTTCCAACTTCCGTATCAATGTTGAAAGACTATTATTATATTAAAGCAGATTTCATGAAAGGCACATAAAAAAAAACATGGCAAACCACTTAATCTGAAGCCGTGACCTGTGCAGGGCATTGCGTGATACACTGACAGTGTCCTGACGACCCTCCCCTGTAATCCCCCAGTCGGATAATCTCATAAACACCTCCTGTTTCCCGGTCCCTGTGGTTCAAGTGCATCACTGTGGAACCCCTGGAGTAAAGGTCACATACTTGACTTGACCTTGGGCTTGGGCTACATTTTTAACCCAGCTCTACACCAAGGTTTGTTCTACCAGTATAAACATGTTCAAGGCAACCTGTCAAGGGTGTGTAAAATCAATTTCATCTGTACAGTCAGATAATAGGGTACTACTAAAGGTGGAGGTCCCATTGCCCTTTTTTAGGCTGTGTAGCTAAAGGGGTTGTTAATCCACTGTGTCTAGGGCAGGGTGTTGGAAGGCAGAGCCCATCCCTCTCCTTCCACTGCCTTTTACCCCCCCAACTGAAGTCAGGTTCCATTTTACACCTGGGTAGAGTGAAGAGTTTCAAAGTTTCAACCAAAGAAAGTCATGGAATGTCTAATGCCAGGAATGCATAGAATGTAATCGTGTGTCCGCCAGCCTAGTCACTAGAATCCATGTTTTCAATTTCAATTTCTGTATCTTCTTGTAAACAAGAGTGTAATGTGTTTTTGAGCTCTTCCAGAAAGGTGCAAGGATCAACACAACTCTTTTTAAGGTATACATGTACCTAACCAAATGCCCTTTGAAGAAAAACAGCCAACATGTATGTTTTACAGTTGCTTGCTACATGAAAATGGAAAAATGGAATTTTCAAGACAAGTGTCAGGGAGGGAAGGCCAAGGCTTTGGGTCTAACAAAAAAGAAACTTCCTGATACCCTGTTAAATTTCAGTATTGTGTTTGTAGGTAATGAAAGAAAGCTCTCTTTTCAGTCCAGTATAGCTGACCCAACTGCACTTCACTATCCACATGCTAGGGGGTGCAGTGGTACAGTTCAAAATGCATATGGTGCAGTTCTGCTACTACACACAAGATGTCCCCATATGTACATGTACAAGTGAATATGTAACAGTTTTCAAATGTGCCACTAGCCAAAATAATATATAAAGATACATGTACCAGTAGATTTTAAGACAAGCATCATGCATAAGTTTACCTTTATGTAATATATGAAAACCTTATACATGTACATTCAATATAAAACTGTGATCTTTTATTGTGTGTTTCAGTTACATGGGGGAGGGCTGGGATCACCAAAGATGACATGGAGAGGTAAGGAGGTGTATTGAACAATTTACATAGACCAACTTGGCACAGAATACTTATTTCATTGTCACATTTAAAAGTCAACATGTTCTTAATGATCACCCTCTGAGTTCATAATGATCACCAAGTTTTGAGTTGGTCCCCTTGTACCACATTTTTTCACCATCACCATCTAAGTTTTAAGTTGGTCCCCTTGTATTTTTTTACCACAAAGTTTGTTTTTTTTTCACCATCTACATGTACGTAAAAGTTTTGAGTCGGTCCCCTTGTACTTTTTTTTACCATCTACATCTAAGCTTTGAGTTGTCCCCTGGTATTTTTTCCCCATGAACATCTAAGTTGTGAGTTGGTCCCTGGTATTTTTTTTTTACCAACATATAAGTTTTGAGTTGGTCCCCTCCAGTCTGGCATGGTTTTCCCATTAGACAGAGTGCATATGACCTTGTAGAAGGTCACATTCTAACCCCAAGCGGAACAGCTGACTTCAGGTAACGTTCTGATTTTTCACAAGGGCTCGAATATAAACTCCTTTCCCAGTTGGAAGGTTGTGTGTTAAACCTGGGCCTGAACATGTACATGTGTGGTATGCTTGACGTTTCTGTTGTAAAGTACAGTTACATGTATATGCTAGCAAGGTACAATGTATTTTGCACATGTTGAATTGTTCATGCATATAGCATTAAGGCAGGTAGGTCTTTTAATATCGGGATCATTCATCAATGACTGTATACACATGTATATACTGTACACTGGGTAGACTATATTGTATGCACATGGGGTGTCGTCTGCATGATTTCTGGGATCGAAATGCTGGTAACACCTGCATAATGCATGTTATTGCAGGTAAAATTGGAGCTGTGCAGGTATTTCTGATGTCTACCTGCACCTAACCTGCACTGGTCCATGTGCTGGGTTTATAAGTAAAGTGTATTTACATGTAGGTGTATGATTGTTGATTGTTTTTTAGTGCATTGACAATGAGTGTTACTGCCTATGAAGCTATGATGTATGAAAGAAATATCAGAGGTTTCTGAACATTTTTAGTATGATCCATACTTTCTGAATTCTGACATCCTCCTTCGCAGGGCTAAAATCCTCCGGTTCGTTCCTTCGGGTTTTAGCCCTGCTATTTACCGCTGACAGTTTGACTTTTGGTGACGTCACCGAAAAACTGCTGTCAGCCAATCAGAGAATTTGCGCACCGAGCTTTGCGCAAAAACCGCAAAGGTCGCTGGGAACCTATTAGCCAATCAGGTTACATGTTGGGACAGGCCAAGATGGCGGCTATTACAATACTAGAAGTTTCGTGCGAGCCGTGCAAGATTTATTTGGAGTCGAGCGGCTTCGTGAGCATCAGCAGTCGATGCTACGGGCGCTGCTTGATGGCAGAGACGTTTTTCTGAGTGTGCGGACAGGAGGAGGGAAGAGCCTGTGCTATATGGGCTTCCCAGCAGCGGCCAAAGCCCTGGCCAAAGCCGAGACAGAGTTAGGGCAAGCCCCCCGACATCTGATTGGTTTGTGCCAAATAAGGCAAGCTCATGAATTATTTATAAGTGACGTCACCAGAAGTCAAACTGTCAGCGGTAAATAGCAGGGCTAAAACCGGAAGGGAACCGGAGGATTTTAGCCCTGCGAAGGAGGATGAATTCTGAGTGATGCAGGTGAAATCTGTCTATCTGGCGTAAGGCTAGCGCTGCATTTTCAATGTTACTTACACCAGTACAGGTATAATACAGAAAAATATATTTGAAGCCCTGCCCGTCGGGATCGAACCAGGGCCTCCTGGTTCAGCAAGTTCTGTCTTCTATCCTTTCTTCACTGATGAAACTATCTGGCAGTACTAATGTATCAGGTGACTCCTCTGCAAGTCTTCAGCTGCTAGACACTGTAATCCCATCCAGATGATGTATGTTTGTGTTAGAGTGTACTGGTATAGCTAGGGAGGTAGCATTTCGTCTAAGGCCAACTTTAGACTGACGACAGTATACGAAGGCACGACAATCGTTGTGGGCGACGGCTGACTTTAGACACATGACCAGGAAGTGTGACGGACACCCGCAGCGCAGGAGGGCACGCCGCGCGCCAATTCAAAATGGCGAGAGAACCCCTTTTTTTCGGCATGCTGCAGAAGATTGTTTTTAATCTACTTTTAACTCCTAGTTTGTGCCCAGCAAAGGAGGGGTATGAGGCACATGTACCAAGCGGGGCAATATACTCCGGGTTTGAACCCGCCGTTCAGTGCTGCCGTCGGCCTGGCTATATTGGCCGGGAAATGTGGATCGGCAGATCGGTTCGTACCGGAGAAGTAGCGATTGGTGGCTGGGGATTGTACTAGACACGTATGACGATATAAAGTTTTTGGTTTGATGGCATTTAATGATACTGGCGATGTGCTTGGACATAAAATAACGCTTGCAGGCTTATTTGCATAAGGCCAATGACCTCCCACTTCCTTCGCCGGCGACGGTTCACTTTAGATGGTGGAAAATCCTCCTCGGACCCCCCGCTGAAGGATCGCACGATAGGAATTACCGTCGTGCGACTATTTTGATCGTCTTTAGACGGTTGTAAAATACCGTCGCAGGCAACATCTTGACGATAAACATTCGTACGACTATTTAACCGTCGTCAGTCTAAAGTGCCCCCTAGTTCAGTGATGGTAAATTATTAGGTGTATCAGCTACCTTGCAGAGGTAAATGGTCCTCATACATGTCGGACTCATTTCAGATGTCAAACAGTGAAAATCTTTCAAAATATTAAGGTGTTACTACATTGTAAGTTCTAATTTCTATATGTCGTCAACTTTTGCAGATTCCCCCAACATACATGCATGTATATTGTACAAGTCATGAATTCAGTCTTGTTTTCTGACAATATTAATAACAAAAAAAAACTCAGAAAAGAAATCAGAAATTTCAGACTTAATAATAAACCTCCAATTTCTTATCATATTTATATTATTTTATGCAATAAATGCCTACCCGAATTCCCCCATGTCAACCTCTAAAAATTCTTTCTGGCTCCTCCTCCCAGATTAAGAGACCTTTGACCTCCTGTGGTTCTGCCTGTCAATCTTCCCCAGGCCACCCATGTGCTGTCAACCTACACGTACTCTATCCAGACAGATCCCCAAACACACAACTTAGCAATATAAAACTGTACATACAAAAGGAGCTTTAAGGTACATCTGTTACCTGAAATGCCATAACTTTATGCAATCACTTGTGAAAAAGCCATCCTTAGCTGACCTTCCACATCTGGTGTGTTTCAACCCTCCGAACTTACCCGTCTACACACATGATTTATCGTTGGCAGAATGTTTGTAGAATTCCGCCCCGACCAAGTTCAAACCTGGGTCAAGTTTATGCCTGGAAGCCTGGAATTTTGTTTAAGTCTCAGGCAAATGTAGCAGCCTTGATGATACAGACAAGCATTGAACTTAATCAGCCTTCGCGAGAGTTTGTTGAAATCTTTTTTGTTTCAATGCAGTTCCATGTACATTTTACTTTTGGGATAGTCACAGCATACATGTAGGGCAGCAACAAAAGTTCCTTCTATCCTGGGCTATTCTCTGGATACCATCCCAAGTGTGGTTGAAGCTCTTCAGCACTTTTGCAACTATTATTCACCGAGTGATCTTAGGATTTTCTCTTCCCTACAGGTGTTATACTGAGTGCTATTCTTATTAATTGTCATTTGTGTTCTATCCATTTCCACCTCCTTCTAACTCAGTAAGAATGATGGTGTCTGTATATTCTTGTTTGCATTTGATTGAACCACAAAAGTTACTGAGAATTGGCAGGACAGACCTTTTGTAGGAGCTTATTGAGTGATGTATGTGTCCTTAGGGAAATCTTTTAAACAAATATTATTGTTAGAGCCATCTCTCAGACCCAAGGCTGTCACCAAGGAGGTTCAAAAAGAAGCCCTCCTTGATGTCACTCACAATTCCTGGGAAAATTCCTAATTGAGGGCCTGCATGGGGGGGTAGTGATTACGAGTTATGCAAAATTGTCACCACCGATTACGAATTGTATTAAATTCTCAGAGTTGATATTATTAATGACTTAACGTTTTGCGGCTAATGTACTATTACGAATTACATTGATTTTTTGGGAGGCTGCCTATGGATTATGGAGTCTTGGAGACCAAAAAAGCCTGATTACACCTTCCAAAAAAGGCATGTAGTGATGTAGCAAAATGTTGACCAAACAGTTGTAGTGCCTACTAGTAAGGAAGTGAAGAGTGAAGAGTGAAGGCCCCACCCAGGGTTAGATAGGGGACTATCTACATGTATGTGTAACTGGCAAAGGGGTACCCTGTCTCCAGATGGTCAACACGTGTGAGGGTCTATCTGCATCAGTGCATGCCTTTTTCTGTGAAGCACATAGCAAGCTACATGTATCTTAAGTCTTCATCGTTAATTGTAATTCAACGTTTAACACTGTTTGAATTTTTCGCGAACTGGTTGCTTTGATTCTATGTAGTATGTTATAAGTTATCCTGAATTCATCGTTAAGCATCATTTAGCTAATTTTTCATGTCAATGGATGGGAAACCTTTTCGAATACATTTTTTACTTCAATGTCATCTCCACTTTAACTGAACCAAATGGAAGTTCACCTCACTAAGTGGAATGACAGATTGTCCAAAAGCTCACCACACATCTAGCATTTGGTTGTGTCACTGTTTGCAGAATAGTTTTCCCTGGAGCTAGGCACCGCAAAATCTTTGTGCGATGACAAGTCAATTTCCTGTTAAGCATTGCCCAGCGGATCCCCCATGTGGACCCTCATGTAAGGCATAAGCTTGCAGACAGCTACATGTACCAATATTAATTTGCTCCCCCAGTAAGACACCCACTGAGGTCCATGGGTGCGTGGTTTTCATTTGCTAGCCTGCCTGTTCGATTTTTTGTCAGGATCCCCCATGCAGACCCTCGTGTAAGGAAAAATCTTGCAGACAGCCACCAATACTTTGCCAGCCGTTCCCCCACTAAGGGTCTCTGGGTGGTTATGTGATTTGTTGGCCTGTCTGTTAAGGTTGCATTTGTTGCCAGGATCCCCCCATGCAGCCCCTCCTGTAAGGTACAAGCTTGCAGACGGCCACCAATAATTGGCCGGCCGGTTCCCTACTGGGGTCCAGGGGTGCGTGGTTGTGATTTGCCATCCTGCTTGTCGGCACCCGGCCCACAGTCACATGGCCTGCCGCTCGCTGTAACTCAGCGACTGTTACGTTACAGACAAACCCTACAGTACAGGTGGACCTCGACTGGCTGCTTCTAAGTTCTATTTCTCCGGTTGCCCCACCTGTGGAACCATGAGCGTGTCTTTGAGCGGAGTTTTCACCATTTAGTAGTAACATGCTTCTGGTGAAGGTGTTTGTTGGTCTGTGGATGTTTGGCTGCATCACCGGCCTGGTGCTGAACTGGGACTCGCTGGCAAACTTGTACCGGGGATGGCACGCGGACGACAAGAATAAATACTACAGGATACTGTTCGAGGATGGGTATGAGCTAAGGTAAGTCAGAGGAACGTCTCCCGAAAAACTTTTATCCAAGGAACTGAAGAGAGAGTGCTTTAATTTGTTTTTCAAAATCATTTTTGACTCCTTACAAAGAGTACAGCTACCATACTTGCATTGCACTTAGTGTAAAAATAATCGTAAAATTTCATCTGAGTTGGTATAAGTTACATTCAATTGTGGGATATTTTATTTTTTCCCAACTCAGGAAAATTGGATTCACAGAAATATTCGCTGGGATCATTTAGTCTTCTTCAGCTGTCTAACCCAATCACTCAGAACACCTGTAAAAACACTTACAATAAGACTTGAGCTTGTCTAGATTTCATTAACTTAAAGTTTGCTACTTTTTAAGTGATACTGACACTGTCTGACTTGTTACTATCACTAAATCACTTTGTATCTAACTTGCTTTTGTTAATTCTCAGATTAGATTGATATGATTATCAATGGTAAAGACAGTACCAGCTGTTTGGCCTTGTAATCTGGTATCATATATCCAGATTATGTATTTGGATTAGCAAGCTTAAACTGCTTTGCAACTTACATATGTGCCTGTGAAAGAAATTTAAACTGCATTGTATAAAGGAAAGAAGGTAGAAACTGTGGAAAGACTTTGTAAGTTTATAAAGAATTTATGGTAATTTGATAAGACTTAAAATATTATAGTAATTGCTGAAAAAAATAGACTGTAATATACAATACATTGAGTATGCAGACTAGTTGTCCGTATTGTATCAGAATTCATATGCATGATCGCCATTGATCCAAGCTCCAAAAGTAATCCAAGATGTCTTTTTTAATGTAATATTTCAATCGAACTTTAAATTAATGTGTATGGCACAAATACATGACTTGTACATTGTATATTTACAGTACATACACAAGCCACACCAGTTGATTTAATCCTTCAAGCCCCTATTTGGCTACAATCATGCTCGGGTTACTACCAAAACTTGTTGTCAGAAGCTAAAGAAAACTTTTGACAAGGCAGAACCAATCCAAGACTGATAGGAGCTTTACCTGGACATCCATTTCAATCATCGCTGCTGGTTTTATTGGTTTTCAACAGTTTATTTACACTTGATTGTAAGAAATACTTGCTGATGCTTAAAATTTCTGTATTGTCATGTAGGCCTGCTTCCCAACTCATTTGTAAAGGTTGTATTTGATTCTTCACTTTGACCCCTTCAACTACTGTTATTCGTGATACTTTTGCGGTGCTTTTTTTGTTGCAAACTCATAACACCACAAATATGTCTTCCTTGCTTGTACATTTGTACCTGTGCTACTGAATTTCGAGCACAGCCAAAACCTCTTTAATTGCTTTCCCAGGAAAAAAAAACTTTAACCACATAGTAAAACCAAGTGTTGTGAAAGCTTCATGATTTACAGTATATGCAGGAATAGATTCCTGTATACAACTTGTGCTGTATATTCTTCTTTTAGTACTGGATTGGACTTTGCTGAAGTTTTATTCTGTTTAAACTGCTTAGTGGTCCAATACAATCTCTGTAATGTCAGCCCCGTCGTTAAAGTTGCCCCAAAGAAACAGGAAGGGTTTGGCAACAACAGTGGCTCCAAACAAACCATCACCATGGTGAGATACTGGACACTGCTGCCAAAAGGGACACTACTGCCAGGTGCATGCCAAGTTAAATAATAAGCTTAATCAAGAAAAGATCTCTTCTTTTTTTTTCAAACTAATGGCATGATTATCATCTTTCTTGCATCTCAAAAGCTGCAAGCATTATTTTCCTGTCAATGTTGTTCGAATTGACAATGTATATTTAATATGTATAATTATTATAAGCATTAGCTACCGATTCTATATTAGTTACAGGGTTAGACAGCAGTGATAAGGTTAAGCATAGCTGTTTCTACAGTATGTGAAAAGTATAAGGACATGTTGAAAGCCACACTTGCAAGCAAATGCAACATATTTTACTCCATCCTTATGCATATTTCACTCCCTACTCAAAAAAATGGATTGTTCCATGATTGTCAACCTTAGGAAAATCAATGTATTTCACTCCTAATCCTGTGTTATGGGGTGAAATTTTATAGGGATGTGGCTACTGGTAGTCATCATGTGTGTCATTAAAAACTATCACCCACACGATGTTCTACTAACATGAACCAGAACGTCTAGATCTCAAAGGCAGGATCAAGTCTTCAGAGTTGCTTTCAAGTACAGGTTCATATATCTCTCATCTTCCATTAAAAAGTAACTTCTTTCCCTGCCACTTGCCAGCTCCACTTCAAACATCAACCGACATGAAACAGTGTCAGATTCCCCCTCTGTGTTACCTCCCAGGGTCCCCCGTTGGTGCAAGATAAATAAACTGGCAAAGTTTGCAGCTTTGAACTTGGCCTGCGTCCCAAACAGATGCATCATATGTGACAGAACATGTGGTATGAAGTGACCTGGTTAGAACTGTGGCTACAGTTATAATTCAGACCATACTGTCAATTACAACATACCCACTATTGCCATGGAGACAGTGATACCCATGGTATACCGGTAAACCATGAAGTAATTATTAGAAGTACATGTGTATAAAGAAGGACTTAATTGAAGTATTTATATCCCAAGAGAGTATCTCAGAAAGTTCTTAATAATTATATCATGTACAATGTAGTTTGTTTTTTTAATCTTAAGCACACACACATTGACTTATTACACGCATTACATGCAGTTCAAAGGCTTGTAAAAGATATATACTGTGGGCCTTGTTCTCATTATAGATAATCTAGATTGTCAGTGTGAGATAACTGTGTCTATAGCAAAGTCAGAAGGTTCAGGGTCAACCAGTTGTAGTGAAGGCCAATCCTGTGTAACACTGGGATATGTACTATTACATGTACAAATGTATGTATAAGCCATACACTACATGCATACATGTTTGCAATTTGTTTTTTATTTCTTCCTTGGATGCATACATTGTAAGTCATAATTGGTTTGGGAAGTGAAAATGACCAATGGGGCAAGTGGATTTTTGAAAACTTGTCCAACCCTGTTATCTGAATGAAGACTGAAATGTTGAGCCCACTGACCCGAGTTAAAGTAATTACACATGTACATACCCACACGTCAGCATGTATGACTCATAGCTGTTTCCTGTCTGTAGGTTACGCAGAGAGGAACTCAGCAGCCAAATCAGAGAGGTGAGGACTTCACGTTGTTGTACAATTGCACTTATGTTTGAGTTTTAACTCAGCATGTTTAATATTATACTGTCAATTTGCTGAAAGATACACATTACTAGTACATGTATATTCCTTAGCAAAGCAATTGATTGAGGTACTAAGTAAGTTAGCTAACTAGGAAGAGATATTGAATCTACATGTAGGTAGTGCAATATACACAAATATAGCACATGTATGTTCACATGTTTGTATTGTGTATACCATATACAAAACAAAATGTACATAATTATATACAAGGAGGTTTTTGAACAGTAGTCATGTAGGTCAACAGTACATGGGTGGGGCAGAATGACAGGAGGTCAGAAGCTCAGACTGACATTGTGAGGAAGGAAATGGGGTGAAGTGAATCTAACCGAGAGCCAGCAGGAATCAGTGGTAGATATGGGGGAATTCAGGGAGCCGCTTGCAAATCTCCCAGAAGTTTGAAAGTTGATTTTGAAATTCTGATTTCTTGTTTCTTCCTTCTAGGCTTTAGAGCCATTGGAGAAAAGACTAGGAAACTTAGAGAAAGGGTGAGTTTCTCAACAGATCCAATTTTTTTATCATATGAGATTTATACAGTTTTACATAACTGTTGTTTGAGCATGCATGGCCATTATTCTTTTTCTTTATTTTATAATTTTTGACATTGTTACTAAGTTTCATCCACACATTTTAGCAATTTAAGACACATTATTAGTATGTTATCTAATTAACATAATTAGCTTTTGACGACAGTTTAATTGATGACACCTTGACAATGACAATGACACCAATCATTATTTATTAAAGAGACGCTTAATTTGATTTTCAGCGATATGTCGAAAGCAGAAACACACAGGTAGATTTTTTTCTGTTGTTGACAAGCCAATAGTTTCAGCAGATGTCAAAAACTGTTCACTTTCACAAGGCCATCTAGGAAAATATGTTGTGTTTCTGGTTTCTGACCTTACTGGCCCTAGCAATAACCCACCAAACTTTATTGACCGCTGGTAAGGCTATGATAATAATTGTATAGTATAAAATTCTGAATTCTGAAACGTCATTTAATGCATTTTCAAAGCCTTTTTTCTGCAGTAAATCAGGTAGCATTGTTTTTCCACATTTGTCAAGCATTTTCCACAATATGGCACGTCCCTGAGACAGTCCCATTGCATTGTTTAACTTTATATGTTGGACTTTTTAGTTAAAAGAAATCTTAAGAATAATTAGAGAAAAAGTCCCTACCTACAGACCCTAGTATCCTTGTTTTTATCAGGACAGAAACTGGAAACACAACATTCATAATTTTCCTAGTCACGCACATACATTGTAACTTACATGTACATTGTTGTAGATGGAACTCTTAGTTACACCTGTGTCTCACTCTGTGTCTCTGAACTGACTAACAAGTCTTTTGAGTGAACTGCAGTCTATTTACTGTAAAATTAATGTGTTTAATTTTGGAGTAGTGGTATTTCGCAGTAAGCCCGGAAAATATAAAAGGCATATCTGTTGAAATAATGTGTGACTGTTTGAGTTACAGTTTGTAAAATTGTTGATGAGATATTTGTACATGTACATGCATATTCATGCAAAATTGCAATTGATAGAAAAGATGGCAGCAAAATATTTTCAATGTTCAATTAAATTTAAGGTACAAAGACTGAGTTCCGAAAATTTGAATCATTGAATGAACTTGAATTTGCTTTGCATTTGTCTCAGCTTTGTGTGAAGACAAACATACTGTAGCTGTAGTTATATATGTTTATGGCTATGCATGCTTGTCTGGGACATACTAAATTCCTCTTATTGTCCATACATACATGGAATTAGTTTGAAGATTGGTATAAATGTCATAGCTTATGAGATGCAATATGAGAGTTTATATAATTATTATAAGGTCTACAGGATTGGTGGAAGGGTCCTACATTGAGGCTGACTAACCAACTTCTCATCACACTTCAGCTGATTTGACTATATGGATGACATCCTCTTCTGAGTCTTCATTTCTGAATTAGATTCATTTTTTTATTAAAAATTTTCCAAATGTAATTTTAAACTGATGTTACAATTAAAGCCACAGATTGTAGTCTGACTGAAACTGGAAATCATTTCAGATGGTCTGCCCCTCTCAGTGCTTGATGGTTGTGACCTTTGTTGACCTTGTCCTGTTTACCCACAGCTCGGAGGACTCCAAGTATCCCAAGGTCAAGTTCCTCATGGAGAAGGACAGGAAACGTATCCTGGTAGGTCAAAGGTTACACTGTATCATTGTATAGCAAATAGACAATGAATATGCAGATTTTTCATTAATTCATTTAGTCGTTCACTCTTCCATGAATATGTTCCTGATAAAATTATATGGTACATTTGTATCTGTAATGACTTTTTTGTACATGTATGTGTTATACACCTTTGAGTAAATGAGATATGTAGAAAATGTGAAATGTAGTAAATGAGATGTAGGAAATGCTTCCCCCCTGAGGCATTGCCAAAAAGTTATTGACAACAATCATGGTCAACACCAACTTAGATTTTAACATTGTTTTTGTTTCAAAAAGTACTGTTTGCTTCATAACAGGAATGTACCATTTTCTGGTTTCCCAGGTAACGGGGGATGTAGGGCTCTCGCCTTTTAGCTTCATAACTGCAATGTACCATTTTCTAGTTTCCTAGGCTGCGTATCCTACAATGTAGGTAAGAGAGGATGGAGGGTTTGTGGGCCCTCACCTTTTAGACACTGGAACTAACAGGAATGTACCATTTCTGGTTTCCCAGGTAACGGGGGGTGCAGGGTTTGTAGGGTCCCACCTTGTGGACCGTCTGATGATGGACGGCCATGAAGTAGTCGTGATGGACAATTTCTTCACCGGGAGGAAGAGAAACGTGGAACACTGGCTCGGACACGAGAACTTTGAACTGCTGAACCATGATGTGGTAGAACCACTGTATATTGAAGGTAAGAGTGTGTAAACTCCTTCTTTTTCCATGGTGTAGGTATGTGCAATATAGTGATTAAAAAACTAAACCACACCTGTATGCTCAGTGCAGTTTTCGCAACTTCGGTTAAAAAGGTCTTGGACTACAATTCCGGCTAGACAAGTATACCTGTGAAGTCAGGTTTCAAGCTGTTTTCAGATGGACTTTTTATATCCTCTGTGGTCTTTACATTTACAAGGTAGAAACTGTACCCAAATGTAAATTTTGGACCCAAGAAATACAATTGTTTATACTTATCCTTGTTTTTCCCTCCCAGTGGACCAGATCTACCACCTAGCCTCCCCCGCCTCACCACCACACTACATGTACAACCCCATCAAGGTAAGTACACATACATGTACATTTGTACATGTACAACCCCATCTACATGTAGGTACATGTACAATGTAAGCACACATACATGTACAACCCCATCAAGGTAAGCACATAATGATGTAGAAAATGTGGTGATTGAATTATACAGAATGGCTCTTCAAATGTGACTTCTAAGTCTTAGCATTTTTATGCACCAGTGCATTTTGTTATCACTTTTATTTTTTTCTCTTACAGACAATCAAGACCAACACAATAGGAACTCTGAATATGTTGGGTAAGCAAACACCATGTACATGTTAGTGTTCTCTACATTTTATATCAGATAAATTACAGACAATTTTGAAAATTTGTAGTTGTAATGAACAAATGACATGACCTTGTGGTACAAAATCCTGGAAGGGTTGTTATTTTTTGTTGCTGCATACAAGGTGAAGTGTAACATTTTGGCCTTTGTTTCAGGTCTTGCAAAGAGAGTCAATGGCAGATTTCTGCTGGCTTCAACATCAGAGGTGTATGGAGGTGAGCTGTTATGAATTCAAGATGTATTACAATGTATATACATGTAGTTTTTGTTTCATGGTGGGTGGGGAGTGCTTTTGCCAGTTGATTGTTATGTCAGGGAGGTCAAGCCTGAAGGTGACGTACGTGTACATGTAATAGGCCCCATGCCCAGTATATCCAGGTGGGAGTGAGTGAGTGGTATGTGGAGGCATTCAAAAACTACATCATACAATCAGTAGTTACTAGTAATACACTCACAAAAACCCCTTCCTGGAAGTCAGAAATCTCTGATTTCTCATTTCAACTCTACATGTAGATGGATATGTTCTCAATAAATACTGTACATTATGCATTTTGAAATCTTTTTTTCTTCTTCCCTCAGACCCAGAGGTCCATCCCCAGAATGAGGAGTACTGGGGACATGTCAATCCCATCGGTCCACGGGCCTGCTACGATGAAGGCAAAAGAGTAGCTGAGACAATGTCATATGCTTACGCCAAGCAGGTACAGTACGCAGTCATGTACAATGCATACACATTTGCATACTGAGTACATTTACTACATCAGTGCAACTGTTCAAATTCTGAAGAAACATTCAAATGACATATGGATAGAATATGTGCGGGCCCAGTGACCAAGAGAGGGTACTTAAGCTGTGTACCACTTTTCCAGGAGCATGTGCAGGTCAGAGTGGCCAGAATATTCAACACCTTTGGTCCCAGGATGCACATGAGTGACGGCCGGGTCGTCAGTAACTTCATCTTACAGTCGCTGCAGGACCAGCCAATCACAGTCAGTACACAGTAATTAGATTATCATGTCATAATGAAAAGGGGTTTGGAAATGTACAAATTTAATGCCATTTGATGTACTGCTGGGTATAGACATATATTGAGTTCTGTTCCCTGAATCTTGGGTTTGTCTGTCTATCCTGAAATGGTGTTTTTAGTTGCATGATGGGTAGGAGATGATGTTGACAGTTGATTGACAGGGAGGGACACACAGTATAATATCTGAATCTGATTGAATTACATCATACAATCCCCTCCACAGTTCCCCAACACTTCCTGGGGGTCTGTGAAATTGAAGGTCACGAAAACTCAAAACACTTCTGAGACTAAAATCTCTGATGTCTTGTTAATACTGTGTACTGCCATAAGAAAATGACCATGCTTATATATTCTATACAATTCTTAAAGGTTTTTGGGGCAGGGAAGCAGACAAGATCATTCCAATATGTCAGGTGAGTGCTTGATATTAGGCAGAAGTCTAACCACTTTAAGCATGTAAAATTAACAAATCTATGGTTGAAACTCCTACATGTACAGACGTTAGTACCAGTAACCATTCTTATTTAGACCCTTGTCACTCTTGGTGTTTGTTTATTTGTTTGTTTGTTTGTTTGTTTGTTTGTTTGTTTGTGAACACTTTTCTTTCTGCCTCCCCCAGTGACCTGGTGAATGGGTTGGTGATGCTGATGAACAGTAACATTTCCACACCTGTCAATCTGGTAACTCTACTCTTATTTCTTTGTCTTTAGATACCGTACATATGTACGTTGTGAAACTTTTGGGGTGGTTTTATTTTGAGGTAGGAGAAAAAGGAAGGTTTTCACAGCATTTTGAATTCACTGTTGAAAAAATTCTGTACTTCAGTACTTGTACAAAGAAGGCAAAAATAAAATGACAGGAAAAGTTTCATAATTTACAATACTTTAAAGTTAGGATTTGATGCAGTTACATGTACTAGAAGTAATGTAGATTTTACCTCAAAAGAATATTTAAGAAAAGGAATTCACTATATAATGACATGTAAGTTTATATCATATTTCCATTTCCTTTTTCAGGGTAATCCAGAAGAACACTCCATATTGGAGTTTGCAACAATAATCAAGAACTTGGTTGGTGAGTTGGTTTATTGTCTTACAGTACATGTAGCTTGGTCAGTTTTATTGTTTTAGTATGTATCAGATTTTGTATAGCCGGTATAACTGCCCTTCGGCATTACACACCAGCTTTGCAGGCATACAATTTATGTAGTTGTTATATTGTGCAATCAAAACATGTTAGTTTAATTTTTCTCATGTACATGTAAACCTTTAGAATGGTTACATATCAGGCAAAGTTTGAGATAGAGCTGTTAGAGTGTTTCGTAATTACCACTGAATTTGCTGGTATGTTTCATCAGGTTGCAAAAGCGATATCGTCCACGTAAAGGAGCAGGAAGATGACCCCCAGCGGAGAAGACCTGACATCACAAAGGCCATGGGCATGGGGTGGCAACCAAAGGTACAACTGCTGCTTACTTCTGTTTATTACTCCCAGGCACAGAAGTATTGGTTTGGGTGGCTGAGGTCTGGGTATGTGTACAGTCATGTTTGTCTACACTGCTGTTTCTAAGCGTTTTGTCTGAAAAGATATTGTATAGAAAAGAAAAATTCTGAAGCAACATTGACCAAACATCCAGCAGTAACCGTGATGAATTCTGTTATAATGACAAAACAACTTACAACTCATGTACATGTGTAACAGTCATTGCAATTATGGTGGGTCAAGGGTTACAAGAAGTCTAAACATTGTTGACAGTTGACTGCCACTTATTCTTGATAGATAAAAACAAGTCATCAGTTGTATATGCACGATAATTCCTGCAACGTTGCTGTTTTGGGTCTTATCATTGTTTTGTGCAAATGAAAATGTACTAGAAAATGTAGTACTTTACTCTTTGAACGTCAATGACATGATTTTTCTGTGCATGCCACCAGGTGTCGATGATAGAAGGACTAAACAGGACCATCGAGTACTTCCGCCAGGAGCTCTTCCAGTCTTCTCACAACCAGAAAATGATTCTCAGACCAGACGACAAACTGGTATGATCATCCTGGGAAAAACAACCATGCAATATCGCTCTGGAGTAGTTTTTACCTACATACAATACAGGATAGGAACCCAAGTCTTCAGCACATGCATATTTACTGTAACTAATTATCATTATTAACTGGTAATTTCTGTAGTTTCATACTACTTAGTAGTATGTCCTGATACTTTGTAGGTTCCATTTTTGCGTTGAACCAGGTTAAATTCGTCTTCCTGATGTAAGGTTTTTCATAGTTTTATGGTCAGCACTGTAGCAGTTTGATTATAACAAAATACACCGGTAGCTGTTTTGGGTACATTATGTGTAAAGAAATTAAGGGCAAACATTGTTGACAAATTATGATGTTTGTCAGGTTCAAGGTTACTGTATCTTTGTTGACAATGATTTTGAACAAATCTACCAACTTATAAATGTTTAAAATCTTACTAGTCTTAAAATAGTTGTGCAGTAACCATGGTTTAGAAGCTGGGTAGCATCAAAACTACATGTACATTGTACATGCACAGTTAGAAGACAATATGATCTAGCTTATTACTAATTTAACTTAATTTATGTTTGAAAGATTCAGTGCAGTCCTTTACAAATATGATACTTTTTCCTAAGATTTTATTGCAACATGTAATTTACATTGTAGGTGTGAAAAACTTAAGCCTTTAACGATTCTCTTGCACAAGAAGATAAAAGTTCACTTTACATTATTTTTCCAAGCCTTACAATATGTATATAATGAAGTCTCACAGTTGTGCATAGAATAGCTTAGATGACGATACATGTAGCTTCTCAAACGCTCAGATATTTACTAGTATTAGATCAAGTCTTTACTTATTTTTCAAAACTATTGTGTCCCTTAAATGAAGAAATGTATAATTCTGTTACGGTTAATTCTGAAAAGGTCTGCCTTCATACAATGTGTTTCTGTCTTTTAATGTACAAAAGACTAGCTATGAAGGGAATCTGTAAAAGCAATACATGGTTACAAATATTACGTAAATTCTTAAGTATATTTCAGGGTAAACAATCGCTGACTCTACCAGCAGAGATCCCGAGTCTTTGTCAACAGACAGTCCAATCAGGATGCTGTTAAGTAAACATGTTAGGGTCTCCATTTACAAATCCTAAATTTCAAGTCAGTTCCTTGATCCAACATGAATCGAAGTGGAAAATTCTGATGTCTTTAAATTTAGACTCTGATTTTGATCTCTACCAATAAAGACTGTGTGTGGGATCTCTATGGGTAGAATCAGCAAAAATACCAGTGGAATCACTGATTCTATTAGAGTTCATACTCTGGCATACACATGCAAGAGGCTACTAGTATACAGATGTATTACCTTTTTGTCATGTAAATTGATATGACTTTTCAATGCTTCTTAAATTGTGTGTCCTTAAATTTCATTGGTCCGTGGCAGGTCCATAATCCTGATTCTTAAAAATTTGCTTTTCTTTTTTTTTTTTTGGAAAAAGGCAATAAAGAAACTTACTCTATATTGAGTCTACAGATCTAAATGTGTAACAGTTTTCTTGGATTAGATGCTTTATATGAGTGATAGATTTGAACTAAGATCCTTTAAAGTCCTCTTAACCTGTAGTACACAGAAGTAGCTGTTTGGTCACCAATTCTCTGTTGATTACAGGATTAGGCAGCAAAGAGAAGGTTAGGAACACATCAGAACATCAAAATTGTTTACTTAGAATTAACGTTACAGGGTAACTAAATCTATGTATGACCTGTACACATGTTCAATAAAGAAGAACTTCAACAATGTTTTACACATGATGTCATGAGTGGAATCACTTGTTTAAAAAGACCTACATAATTTTACTACAGTGACCAGGCCGAGAGAAGGCGCTGACTTCATCACGCTTCTAGCAGCCCTTCCACTGGTCAGTCCTTTAGAGGCCTTTTGACCATCACATCCTCTACATTTGTAAGTCAGGAGAATTGGTATTTATTCATTTGTGGTAACATGAACCTGAATATGTGCTATTGTCAGACTATGAACTGTCTGTTACCATAGTGTTGGAGTCTGTGATGACTGGTTCCTGTGATATATCTAGAGAATCCTGCTATTGGACTGATTTTCATAGTAATAATTAAAGAATCCTGAGCTCCCATTGGACTGATTTTCATAGTGATAATTAAAGAATCCTGAGCTCCTATTGGCCTGATTTTCATCGTGATAAAGAATCCCGAGCTCCTATTGGACTGATTTTCACCGTGATAAAGAATCCCGAGCTCCTATTGGACTGATTTTCATCGTGATAAAGAATCCTGAGCTCCTATTGGACTGATTTTCACAGTGGTAAAGAATCCTGAGCTCCTATTGGTAGTTCTGAGAATGGGAATGGTTCTCTCTACTTAGGTGGATTACCACAAGCTCTCGGGGAGGAGATAGCCTCCTGTGCAGGCCCCGCGGCGGTGGAGACGAGTTTTTAACGCGTTATTTTAATACAGCCGGCCATCCTACATAGCCGACGAGAGAAGGTTAAAATAACGTGTTAAAAACTCTTCTCCACCGCCGCGGGGCCTGCACAGGAGGCTAGGGAGGAGACCCCTGACAGCAAGAGATTGTGTACCACAGGCTCAATACCTACAGTGATATATGAAGTGTTTAAGGCCTGCAAGCATGTATGGTTTGGAAGACGAAGTGGCTCTGGTAGAAGTCTGTCTGATGCTCGAACAGAGGCCCGGTCTCCGACCTGTTGTTACAGACGAAGTAGATAGAAGAGTGGTACCGCTGGAGACGGCTTCCGTCCACCAGGTCACCGTGGTAATACAGCAGGTGCACACCTTTTATAATATATAGGGAGAAAGAACAGAACGCACAACATCATGGATTATCACTGCCTTCAAATGTATTCAGGAAAGGAACAGTAACAGGTTTTATGGATAGCCAGTGTCAGATATATATATATATATATCTATTTATGTGCATAGTTTGCCCTTGTTTTTTAAATGAATGGTCTGGAATTTGTACAAAACAATATATCGATAAGCAAGATGGCAATATGCATTGCCCTGCATAATAAACGTGTAAACGACGCCATCTAGGGAGGCACAGCAGAATTACAACTCGCAGCTGTACTCACCGTCGTTCCTCGGCAGTGGATTGATCTCAAATATGGCGGCATCTATGTTTCCCAGGGACGCACAGTGTAGTCCGATGTCGACCTGATGGAGGAAAGAAAAACAACTTTATTCTGACGTCCCTGATAACTTATAGAAGGCCCATATCTTGCGGGCCAAACAAACAAACAAAGCCATCTACATGTAGACGTTTAGCAAAACCTTACCCTGAAGATAGGTGAGCTGCCCTTACACCCCTGCGGCGGGTTTGTAACGTTCCGGCAGATCTGTAGATGGTAGGTGTACTTGGACTCATTCAGTCCACTCTCGTCAGGAGACAGGATGTTGTAACCGTTAATGTTGTAGGACAGGGTGTCAAACACGTACGCACCGCTCCTAAAGACAGCAGAGGTCAAAATCCATTCATTTGTCCAAAACTACAGATCCACTCATTGTGTTGTTTTTATTTAATGCTCATAATTAAACATTTTTCAGTGTCTAATTTCTCTTTATGAACTCTGAATTGTATGTACCTTTATATTTGCACAGTAAAACACGTATGTCCTATAGTCTGCCCTAGACTGACTATATCATATGCATCATGTAACTTAACGTATACTATATACATGTACGACTTGTGAGTATAACCTACAAATCGTAAAAAAAATGTTACTGCACTCCACGTCGAAAGAGTTCTGAAGAGTTGCTCATTAACCAATTGATGAAACATGGTCATTGGATTTTTGTCAAGACCTCAAAGCATTAATTACTAGCATTGCGTTGATATTGAATGTTTTACTTTCCTACATGTACCGTGCCCTTATGCTCAGATGTTGTTATGAGCAATATGTCGAAGCCAGGTTTGACTAGAATCCTTTTTACGTTCTTCGTAGCTAGGTGAAAAAGACTTTAACATTGGATTAAAAAAGGGTAGGAATATACTGTACTCACTTTGCTATAAGTGGGGATAGATCGTACACATTCCCGTCTGCTCCAGTGTAGCGGCAGTTCTGAATGTCAGACACGGGTACTACCGACCCCACACCCGTCACCAAGCACACACAAACAACAACCACGACTATGCCGTTCAACATCATTGTTTAAAAGAGAAAATGCAGATTTCTTCAAAGAAACAGCCTGTTCAACAGGGCAGTGTTTTTCCGGCGGTTGTTTGCGTATATAAAGGTGAAAGGTTGACGTTAAAGTAAACAGAGTTTAGACCGTTGATCAGAGTACAGCTGAGCTTTGATCACTGTAAACTCTTGTTCATACAGGGCAGTAGAAAACTAGTATATGGTAGTCTGGACGAATTCATGCAAATGCGTACATGTGCATATGATGTGATATCACACCTTATATAATTATACAAGGAGAAACGGGCCGTAAACAGAATTATTTCAAATCGCTTGAGTGCGTCATCACTATGTATTGTTTTGTCTAAATGTCAATAGCTGATATCGGGCACACCTTACACAAAATACATACATGTAAAACTTACACATCCTTGATAGATAAAGAAACATATAAAAAGTGCATCTTTTCATGAAACATCCACATCATGGCCTCATTTGCATAATTTATGAGGAAATGCTAGTTGCATATAAGATAAAACTGGAGAGAAGATCTCTAATTTATTTCCTAAATATGTCTGATACAATCTCTGATCATTTCTGCCCTAGCTCTGGACCAGAAAGATTATCAAAGTCGCGGTCTTACTTTTATGCATAAAATTTATGCATGCAAATGTCAACTGCATTTCAGCAGGTACTAAACTTGATGAATTTTTTATGAGATTGTCTGAGATTTTTATCTAGATATCATTGCAATTAAACACACAAAAACAAACCTTAAGTGCAGAGTACTGTTACCTAAAATACACCCATGTTATACAGAGGCCCCAGAGATATCCCAACTATGTATACCAGGAGACTACCCAGTTTTACAGAGAAATCTAGACAGGGCTTCTTGGTCCTGCCGGTCGACACGTATCAGCAGCCTAACACACACACACCAACCACTTCACAGCCATCTGAACACATATAAGCCACTTAACTTTAACACAGACTAGTAGATACTCCTTTTTCCCAATCACAGACTTTCCCTTTCATAGATAACTGCCCAGATATCAGAACCGGCTACGTTCAGATATATATAGGAGGTCCCTAAATAGCTAAGGAACCTGCAATAACTGCGCAGTACCACTTACTGGGCGCTTGACCCAAACTATAATCTATAGGGATGCTTCCGAGAGAACCAGAGACGGCTCTGCGGTTGTATGGTCAGAAGGCTGAAGATTGTATCTCTTCACATAATCTTCAAGGAACGCCAAAGTTGCCAGAGCTCCTTGCTGAAATTCGACAAGACAAAGATAATGTAATTTTGCTCGATTAATGATGAACCAAAAAGAAATCAAAAGTACACTCATAGAAAACACAACTACAAGGTCAACTGAAGGACATACTCTCATGAGGAAGGTCTGGTCCTCTGGCTCCATGTTGAAATCAAAGGTGCCCACATAGTCCACGTCAATGCCGATACATCTACCCACGTCCTCTTCCTGGAAACACAATAAAGAGCTGAGAGAGTAGAGTGCTACTTAATCATATACATGTATCTGTAAGATACTTTGGACGGTCGTGTCTATGTCAGGCACATAGTGTACGGTATAACACTGGAGTGTAGTCCTGTTTTCAACAGTCACACATGTCACGTGTTTAAAAGTCCTATCATGGAACGCGGCTCATTTATAGAATTTCCTCATGAACCAAATTATCTCCTGATTTGCATAATTATTTAGCTAGCATCTTGCTATGCCAATCATTACAGAAGCTGTTTACATATTACCAAAAATCACGAAAAACACTTATCTGATTACAACTTTCAAAAGTAGCAAATGAAAATATACCCTGCAGTTCGAAAAAGCTGCTAGGGGGCCCAAACCTCCGCCACTTCTTTAGGTGGCCCGCTATCTGTCTACCAGAAATATTAACCCTAGTATGCCAGGAACACGAGATATCAAAACCGGAATTTCTAATGCAGTACCAAATACAGCCTCTACCATTCCTTTGATAGACTGTTCACCATGCATAATTGTGGGGTGTGCATCGTTTACCAACCTTGATTGGCTTGCTCCTCCCCACCAGCTCCACGTACTTAGAGCTCAGTTCAAATGGCGTGTCGATGATTCGTTGAGGTACAACCTCCATCAGCTTCTTCCTGAACGGCCCCCAGTTGATGTACATATTTTTGATGGTCTCATCGGTTACCTGTGGAATATCATACATTTTAACATCTCCCAAAGACGTTTAAGTTAACACTTCCTTGAAGCAAGAAACCTTCTTGCTTGAAGCATTTTAACATGTCCTCTCTGTTTTGCAGCAAATTCAGAACCCCATTCATATCATACATCACTCCTAAAGAGGTGTTTTCAGTCTTTCCCGGAGTCCATCGTATTTTCTGGTGTATACTCGTATCATGCAGTCTTTATTTCAAACTTCGTATATCAAGTTCATTAACACACTCTCCCACGAGTTATCTTGCACTTTTTGATGGTCAGGCGTGAAGAGGAATATTGGAAGTTTTTTTTTTATTCTTCTCACTGTCACAATTGTCATCAGCGTGTCGTAATCGCTGCTTTGGTAGTACAAAATGTAGTCTTTACCGGCCCGCCAGGGTACTCTGCAAACAAGTCGTCGAACACCACTTCATAAGAGTCGGCTTCGTGTCTGAAATCTCTCAGCTCCTTTTTGTTGGGAAATTTCTGAAAGGAAAACAACTTACTCAAGGATGTGTAATTTAACTTTCAGGCAAACTATACAGTTTTTTTTATATATTTACTATGTTCCTTTCCCCACACTCGATGGCCTCTCGCGTACATGAGAGGAAAAGGTTGTGTTTAGAATATTTCTGAAAGACATAGCTTCTCAATTGCAAACAGTTAAATATTGGAATAAAGAAAAAAGACTCTCAATTGCAACTTCAAACAGTTAAATATTAGATATATTTATATATAAAATATATCAACATCAATATAGATAGAGAGAGAGAGAGAGAGAGAGAGAGAGATAAATGTATCTTTATAAAGTTACGCCTTATAAGTCAGCACTTACATCCTTGAAGCATTTCAACATGTCTTCTCTGTTTCTTGGTACATTCAGAACCTCATGCAGCCTTTGCCTCTTTGAATCCAACTCTTCTCGCATTTTGTCGTTGCGTTTCCTCTCCTTCTCGCTTCTTTTCTCCTCTATCTTTTGGTACTTCCTTTAAACAGTGGATAAAGTAACGATTTAGAAAGTGCACTTGACGTATCAGGCATGTATTTTTACCACAGAACTTTACATAGCGATGACTTGCGTTTATTTCAGCGTAATATCTATTTGGATATTTGAAATATCACGTACTTTTTTACTTTTGTTTCTGGCCTTTTATTCTTAAATTCATCTCCCGTCATCGTCATGAAGGCATCAAGTCGTTCGCTGAAGACGTGTTGGTAAGCCCTCCTGTACGTCTTAGAGTACTGGTAAAAAGAATAGAATACAATTACAAGAAATACAACTGATCTGGAAGCAAAATGGTAAAGATGAAGCCCATATGCACTGTTATCCAAATTCGTTTGAACATCTTTTCATCATGGTTGAAACGTGAAAATGAATAAATTGCTACATTACCATCATCAATCCAAGAGTCTTTTGTAATTGCTGTTTCCTTTGCTCTTCAGAAACATTTTCAGGCTGGAAACGTGCCTCGGTGCACTGCAGGTAGAAGCAATTGGCTGTTTTCACGTCGTCTGCCTCTTCTTCCAAACGTCTCTGGAAGCTGTCCTCCTCGTCCATGGAGAGCCACCATCCTAAATGAACGAATGTAAAAAAAAAAACATCAAACCTCTTCTATAGTCTTGTATGAACAAGCGGGGCGCCATCACAATGATCACATTGCCATTATCATTCAACAGATGAATATGAGGAGAGGAGACAGGACAAGGCTCTGATTTATTGTTTTGTCTTTTAAAGTTATGCGGTGAAGTATTTATTCCTTTTACATGTGATGTTGGCTGATGATTGAAAACTTATTTTTCAAAGTTGTTTCAGTGACGAATGGATGTTGTAATCGTTGGTAGTAAACATATATAGGTATCATTTCTTGTTCAACACGTTTATACTGTCATAATTTGAATATTTAGGAATCTTAGGAGGATACGACATCGATGTCATCCATAAAATGTTTTTGCTGTGACGTGGCCTTACCGTCATAGCAGTAGAGAGGGAAGTTGGCACACACCCCACCGTCTATGTACAGGTCTGGCCCATCTTCAAACTTAAAGGGAATGTACACCACTGGAAAATGAGAGAAAACGCCATGTGGTGATGCAATCAGATAGATACTCAAAACGAGTACCTATAGTTCTCCTCGCTTACCGACGAATCACATAATGGCGGGACCACTGCAGGGAGAAGAATGAGTTTTGCAATTTACGTTCTTATATACGTGAATTTGTAATTACGTGTTGCTTTGCAGCGTGGCTTCATAATGAGTTGTTACTTAATTGTCAATGTCCTTCTGACCAAAGAATCAAATTGGGCAGTCCAGTTAAGGTTATATTTTGTATATTTTTGTTCAGACGATATTGATATAATTTTGATGATACTATAAAGCTCTTTGTCATCGATATCCGTCATTGATAAAATTAATATACCTCTACATGCACCTTTTGTGTTAGTCAAATAAAAATATACAGTATCGACAAGATTTACCTGGCAAGGACATGGACTGCCTGACCGCCTGACGAACACTGCAGAGTGGCGAGGTCTTGGCATGACAGTATTTGTCGATATCGAATGTCAGGTTGTAAGTGACGGTACACAGTTCTTTGCCGAAAACGTTACGGAGCTGCATGAAATTGGGGAAAGCAAAATAGTCAGAACGAAAAATCAATGCCTTTACACCAATGAGGTTATTGATGTCCTTTATCATACTTTAAGAGTAACGTGTAATATCTGTAATATCTGTAATCAAACCTGACTTATACTCTACGCCTGGTATAACGCTCCTTCAGTGGACGTTGTTTTTGAAGTCCTTTCGACCATGCAGTGACCAAATCTAGAACCAACTCAATAGTTTTGAACTAACATTATGCACATACCTGAGATAGATTGATGTTCCTGTCCAGTCCTTTATCTTTATGGTGCTTGTCAAGATGCCTCTGAATGACCTCGCCGTACCAGCGGAAAAACTTGTCCCCTCGGTTCCCACCAAAAGCCGTGAACAATTTCCAACAAAGATAAAGTTCACAACGTGACCGCCGTGGGGACTCTGCAAAGTAGTTGACAAAGGATTCAAAACGTTTAAATTGTTTATTTTCAAACTCAATTTGGTCTCTTCCTTATGTCACAATGCAGCTCTGGCCCTTTCATGACTTGGGTATATATAACAACATCATTACTGGAATCCAGGGCACAACAATGCTCGAATATCAGATGTCTAATTTAATTACATGACTGGTGTTTTGGGCTAGCTTTTATCGAACACTATGGTATACGTAGAGACCCATATGTTGACAGAGAAAAGATATCCAAATACAATCCTAGTATCAATCTAAATATCGGACACAGACCCATCAGCGTTCTCTCCATGTCCACATTTCTCATCTCCTCCAAAATCTCATCTGACGTCATACCGAGCGCCATCAGACCGGAGGTTATTGCGCCTGCGCTGGTTCCTGCAAATCTTTTGATATTCTCCATTATCCCGGCAACCTCTAGGACCTTCAAATGCAAACCCAATGTCAGTAAAATGTATGCATATTTCAGAAAACGGGAGCGTTTTTTAAGCGAATGACCACGAATTACTGCTCTGGGGCCATCCTCGTCGCACGAATCTGATTTTTTTTTAGGTGGCCATGTTGGCGACAGCCCACTAATTCCAGCCCCTATTGGAATATATGGAAACCATTGAAGAACTGAGCTGTCAACAATCACCTACTTCTGTAAACACATATTGACAGGGTAGTCCAACTTCCAAATTGTCCATTTAGGCCAAAAATTTCACTTTTTGACCAGCGATACATATCACTGCAAATGCAAACACTGGCAGCATGACCTCTGACCCCCTTGAAAACCACCAAAAGACAAGAAGATGGGATTAGTTTTAGAACCTACCAAGCAGCCAAAACAACACTAACAGCCAGTTTTTTTCAAGTTTATAGAAATAGAAATAACTTTCCAGCTGGAAAATACCAATACACATATCAAGAAAAAGGCTGTTTTCAGTTGGTTTGGCTGCACTCAATCAAAGGGGTCTCAGATTGGGTCCTCTGGGCATGCGCCATTTGGTGGCCTTTGCCCTGTTCAGATTGTGCTCCCATTTCCCAAGTTTGAAGCGAATACATAGATCCCAAGTTATATAAATCGAAGTTGACAGTTTTACTTCCGTCTTCTTACTTTCGTCTTTATAAGGGAATGACCACTGACACCTTGCAAAATATCGGCCCTCGCGCAACGACTGAAAAATCCACCACCACAAACATGTTAAAATAGTTCTCCCCTGAATTTCGGCGAAGTTTCCGTGCTTTACAAGCTTTAAAAGTAACCCATTTTTTGGCAAAACATGCGCCACGATGGCTTGGCCCCGTCTACATTTCAAAATGGCCGACCTTGCGTTCAGGGACTGTTCTATAACTTCAGCGGGAGAGAGTGTTGCAGCAAACCGTCAGAAGAGCGTCAGAAAACAAAGAATAAAGGAAACACAGATCATCTCAAAACATCATATCAACGCTTACCTTCATAGCACCTATGTAGGCAATCCCCTTGGCCCCTCCTCCTTCCAACACAAGGTTTTCAAATGGAAAATTGTACGCTCGGTACTTTCTTGCAATCATGTTAAGATCGTCTGGAAGTTCAGCCACGGGTTTGGCCTGTCTGAACCCCAACTTTGAGCCTCTCATTTTAGCTGTGGAAAACGTAGCTCCCTGGTGTAATGTAGTAGTGTAAGACAAGATCAACTGGTATTGTTAAAACACACAAAGTGCTCGAAATATGTGTCTCATATTTTCCGTTTCCGATATATTCTTTACACTTGGGTAAAAAATAAGTGATAGAAGTGAGTCGTACATTTTGCACGTCCTTGGAACTTGTCAGGAAGTTTGGACTTGGCAAGTGCAGCAGTTACATTATACGACAACAATATTCTGGTGTTGACCTAACCCCCCCCCCCCTTCCCCTCATAATATGGCGTGGCCAATAGCATGTGCTGCAAAGTGGAAGAAAAGAACAGTGTAACGCAACACATATTAATTTCATGTTGGGGGCTGGGATGAACACACACATAATACTATAAATATAGGTCTTCGTGTTAACGACTATCCATACAACTAGTCAATTGCTTTGATTTGAATGCCTATTTGAAGTAATAACTTCCTTGATAATAGTCTATAATGTGGACGTTGTTGGCATGGTCCTCTAACTATACCTATAACTATACTATATGTTAACAAGGGTTTCTACGTGTACAAACATCTCTTATCCCTATATATTGTCTGTCGACCCACACCAACAAATAATTCATATTTATCTTCTAATGAATCCCGTCAAAATATACCTGCAAAGCTGTAGCTGTTGTGTCAATAAAATCGGTAGCGTTGTTGTTTCCTTCCCGAAACCATCGAAAATATTCTTCACTGCGCATGTGGATTACGTCAATCTGCAACCATGACAATGACCCCACTGTGTGTTTACATACATGCCAACGGTGGCGCCATAGAATTAACGTACAACGTGCAACAAGGAATAGGCTGTTGTTCTCCGTCTTGTAGTTTGAAAACTTAGAAATTGTTCCTTGTTTGAGCCAGTTTTAGGTGTGGGTCTCCAGGGTTAATGTTACTTCACACAGGTGAGTTTTTTCCGACACTACGAATTTTACGCAACAGGAGAGGGAATGCGGTCCACCCATTTATCGGAATGCCAACTGTCTACACAAAGGAGGGTGAAATCTACCGGAATACACCCTTCTTTGATTAGTTAACATCCCAGGTAGTCCAAAAAGGAATGTTGATCATATTGGGTTCCATACAAATCTCCCCCCCCCCCCAATCAAAATTTCCTGCCGCCGCCTCTGTTTGGGTAAATTTAAAGCCTTTAACTTCTATATTTGTGTTTTTTCACTGTGACCCCGCTAAACAAACACTGTGTAATCCACAATGAAGACAAACATGGCGACCGACCGCGTCGCCACCGCCTAACGTAACTCAGATATTTCGTGTGATTTCTTGATCCTTGGGCTATGCATGTATACGTTGCCTTAGGACAAATACAGCAATCTGGGATGTTCACTCATCAAAGCAGGGTGTATTCCGGTTAATGTATTTGTATTTCTGTATATTCCGGTAAATAGGCGGACCCGAAGAATGCCAGAGGCGTGACATCACAGCTTGATCGCCAGTTTTTTTAATTTGGTCCCTAATAACGTTCGATACGTATACGGGTGTTACGGCCTATGCGATAACTAGCCGTATGGCACATGGGGTTCTAATGGTTGTCCTGTCGGTGTTCAAATAGGAAAATACATTAAAGAATGTTTCGATCTTAGAGAACACATGTTAGAGAATAGTTAACCTCTATTGTTACATCATACATATACTCTGTACGTAAGATGACGTTATCCACACATGTATTTAGCTTTGTTAGATCTTTAGTTAAGTTGTAGAAGACCATACAAAAGTCTCTGTACTTTTTTGTTGTGTCAATAAAGAATCTGTCATACCTAGGCCACGATAACGTTCGATACAGATGTTCCAGATCCGTCCCGTCGCGACCATTGCATGTATCACATTTCAAGACTTTCTATTTTTCTAGCTTGGTCTTGGACGACTGAACTCGATCACCGAGAACGAAAGCCATTTTTCTAATCAACAAGCTTCAAAGTACTACTGTTACTGCGACCTCGAGACACAGAAATGGATGGCAAAGGTGGCAAGGTTGTGGAACGTTTTCTATTATTCGCCGTCCTCATGTTATGACAAGCTCGAAGCAAGTGATGCGTTAGATCCCCGGAGTTTAACGTTGCTTTCTTTGGAGATTTTTAATATTTATATCATGATACTATCGTCCTAAATAAATAAATTACATACTTAGGTGAACTTCTTTGCAGGGTTGACCTAATAATGGGGCATTTGGACATTCAACATCATATGATATAGTTAGTTTGTACTTTACACAACGGTGAACGATTAGTAGATACATGTGCAAACGTTCAGCCAAACATTTCGTGTAATGCTTCTTATGAGTTTAATCCCTATCATTCTAACAAGTTACACTTTATACCTATAAAGTTATACATATAGCTTACATATAAGTACCGTATTGGGATCTGTGTATCTGTATATCCGGTATAACCGCCCTTCACCAGCTTTGCAAGCACTTGAACACCTCCATCCTATGTTGATAACTCTGGTACTTGATGGCAAGACTATTTCTTGTTGTTTCTGAGCTGGTATTAGGTACTTAGTACTTGGTAGGTCAACCAGTTTATTAGTCATTTTGTACATCATGTATAGTCTGGACATGTTTTGTCTGTCTTCCAGGAAACCCACTGTAGGTTTCTTTTCATTTCCTTGACACCAGTGTTTGTCAGCATAGGGCCTTGGATTCCATAATACTCCAGTTTTGAGATGAGCCTGCCAAGGGGGACTTTGTCAAATAGAGTATTGCTAAATCTATAGGTACCTGTCTCGTATCCAACAAATCTGTTCCTTTCTACTCTTTTCATGTTGTTCCGCTAGAGTGCTAGTCGTGAGGCGCCGAAGGGTCAACAGGGGGGAGCTGCAGAAGGTGAGTATTGTGTGTATTTGTGTATTTCTTGTCTCACCTGAGGAGGGTTAACGTTGTATTGAACGCAACCAGTCCGCGTTTCGACTGGCAACCCGGCTTACGCAATCAATGCGGTCCCATGGGAATCATGGGAAATGCAGACGACAGTGGTGTTGAGGTTGATTTTCTCGGGTCGGTTTTTACAAAACAAACACTCATAGACCCAAATTTTTACTATTTTGTAAAGCTTTATGTGGCACTTGTGTGACTGCTTATTAAAGGGCATATATATCTGGGCACGAGCCACCACTACGTAGTGACCCTTTTTTTAGTGTCATCAGTATTATTGGTGAAATGCTGTTTTGCGACAAAACGACAATGAATATAGATAGATTCTTTATTGACACAACAAAAAGTACAGAGACTTTTGTATGGTCTTCTACAACAACTAAAGGTCTAACAAAGTGTATGGATGACTTCATCCTACGTACAGAATATATGTATGTGGCAAATTACGCACAGAATATATATCAGTGATAACAATAAAGGTTTAACTATTCTCGACATGTAGTCTCTAAGATTGAAACATTTTTAAATGTATTTTCCTATATATATTAGAATACTGTATTGGTTATCTCCCCTGAGAATGTAATTGAATTTTTCTATAGGATCTAATGCCTAGGTCACATTTCCAAAGCGGGGCCCGGCCGGGCTGTTTGTATGAACGAAAAACTAACAATTCATGTCAAGAATATACAGAAATAGTGCCCATGATTACTATCAAAAAATTGTCTGTGTTTTATTGTCTTTTATATCGTACTTTTCGTTCCATAAGACTGCCCGGCCGGGCCCCAGTTTGGAAATGTGACCTCAGCATAACGTATTGAAATCGGTTGAACAAGTGGAAAGAAAGGTGAACAGCAATAGGCGCTTATCATTGTATAGTGTACAATCCATTATAAAATGGTGCTCATTTTCAATCATGTGTAAAGCGAAACATAGATATGAGTGTCTACTACCAAGTATGTGTGTGTGTGTGTGTGTGTGTGTGTGTGTGTGTGTGTGTGTGTGTGTGTGTGTGTGTGTGTGTGTGTGTGTGTGTGTGTGTGTGTGTGTGTGTGTGTGTGTGTGTTAAGCTGGAGATAAACGTGGGTGTAAAATCTATCCCTATATATGAGGAATTTCTAGTCTTTATGTATGTGTAATTTTGCCATACTTCGTTCCCGGTAATATCGTCATTTCATCGTATCGTATTGACTTGTCTTCTCATCCGGGTCGCGTTCACACAGGGGGGTTACAGCTGGCTTGGGCCACGCTTGAATTCCCACTCAAGCCGGTTCAACCTAGATAAGCTGAAGTTTCACAAAAACTGCTATGTGTCCCTCATTGAAGGTTAGTGGTATTTTGACGACCCTTTATTTCTTGAAAATGGTGTACTGGAAGTAGGGAGTGCATTAAGCTGCAATAAAACGACGACAGGGAAAGACAAGCGTAAAAGCAGGGGAGAAATTTACACACTGCTCTCTATTCGGCTCGATCCGGATTATTTTACGCTAGTGGGAATGTGGCCTAAGAAATGTGAATGGGCCTTTAAGTTTTGACTAAGACAAGCACGTTGATGCTGAATGGCAACATCTTCTCCTACGGAGGACAAGTATAAACATTCACCACAAACGTTTTAAATGTCACCTGAAACGTTTAAACAAATATCATATAAGAGGAATCATGTTTGAATTGGATATGATTTAATGATGCAACATGCTTTGTATATTCCCCAGTTCTTCTTGTTGCCCATTTCCACAAACGGCAGGATATGACGGATTACTAGTATTTTGTTTTCTGTAGCGGCTCGGGGAAGAGGAAGTGCAGCCAGAAGCCGCCATGTCGAACGCCACGTTAGTATCTGACATTTGTTCATTATGCTCAGCTGTCTTAAGCCTCGGTCACAACTCGCCGTACGTGCTTCTGCGTGCTGTCTACGTGCAAAAACGTGGGCAATCGTACGGCATCCGTGCGTGGTGAGTACCACCTCCGTACGGAATCCTACGGATTTGGGAGCACGCAGACACGCCGTAGAACTTTAAGTGCATGTAATACTTTTTCTACGTGCGGTCTGCGGATTTACCACCCGTGCGTGCGAGTACGTGCGACGCGCGTGCCCCGTACAGCCTATGAGCGTGCAACGTACGGACTCCGTGAGTCTAACTTCACTATTCTCACGTGCAATTGCTGTACGGACAGCGCACGAAGCACGTGCGTGCCACGCACGGTGCTTGCGTCATCCGTGCTTACTCCTCACTTCCCAGTTGACCTGCTCAATGACCACGCAGAACACACGTGCACCATACCAGGTGCTCCGCACGTGCAACGCACGTGCAACGTACGTGCAACGCACCTGATCTCTACAGTATATAAAGACAACTTGACGGGCGGCTGCCAACTCGTCTCCAAGATGCCCAGGAAGGCTCAGAAGAAGACTACCAGACAAGACCCAAAGAAACGGGCCGCGGAAGACACCAGGGCGGCTAGTGATGATGAAGTTAACAGGAGGTGCACGCACTTACAACGTGCGAGTGAGTAAGGAAACCGTGCGTACGCCGCACGTGTAGGTACGGCCTTTACGCGGCAACGTAGCAATCGCACAGAGATCGTGCGTTGTAAGCACGTACAACTCACTTACCACTTGCGCAACGTACGATGCACGCAACCGCTGACGGCCAGGCGTGTCGTGCAGACCACGTACGTACACCTTGCGAGTGACGTACTCCCTCGGCCGGCCACCCTACGTTTGCAGAAAAAACGTAGCAGACGTAGCCACGACAAAAACGTACGGACAAAAAGCACGCACGGCGAGTTGTGACCGTCGCTTAATTGCACTATTGTTCGTGGAACACATGCTTTCGTCAGGTGTATATATTCTGTTTTATATTCTTAATGTGGGAATAATATGAATATGTAAATTTACTTGTAAATGAATATACAATTTTCTTTGACTGAAAATCTGTATAATCGCAACCAAAAGAAACCAGCTTTTTTTTCAAGGTGCCAGATCATGTTGCAGGTTGTCCTGCGTCATCCCTGTCCCTTCCTAACTACTAGATATCATTAACAAACTCATGACATGTACAGACCACAAGCTTAAGGAGGCTTCCCAAAATCATGAAATCATGACAGTGACATGCAAACAATAACCCTAACAACAAGCACCGTCGCCATGGCAATATATGTTTTCATTGTCAGTCTTGTTTACATTTGTTTCTTTGATTTTTCAGACAGTCGCTCTTGTCTTGAGAAGATCGAAACAAGAAATTGGAAACCATATACCTACACGAAATATGTAGATAGAACTTTTGTATGTCTGGGGGGGGGGGTGTCTAAGTGATCACGGAAATGTGATGATTACATATTGCACAATCTCTTGTTTCCAACATTTTGTTATCAATTTTGGCCTCCACATTAACATGATACGTGCATAGTGATGTTAACCGTTGACTAAATTACACATGTCACAAGTATGAAATACCCAAAATTTTTCAACAACGACCTCATTTGCATAATTTACATTTTATTTTGTACATCTCCGACAGAGATGTGTACATCATAAAGTTGCATTTTATTGGACATCTCAGACAGATCTTAGATGACATTACAGTTCTTGATCATTCACTGTTTCACTAGTTGCTTATGAAAAAAATGAACGAATATAAGATATTTCAATTTTGGTATATACTTTATTTATCATTTCTTTTCTAGGTATTACGTTATTGACATTTGCCTTGTTATCAATTTTGAGCATGATTTTATGTGTTCTTTTTTATGTACATTCTACAACCTACACACAACACATGATGACTACTACAATACGGCGGGCAAATATGCTACAGGGTAGGTACAATAAAATATTCTTTAAAGGTAACCCGTGCGCTATGCTTTGTGTTGGTATTCGATATTACGACACTTCCGACGATACCTCACATGTATGTATACGTAGAAATAATATAGTCTTTTTTTATATTCAATTCAGCCAATGGAGGAACTGGAACCACACCCAAAATCGTAAGTAGTAGAACACGGATTGTTGCCTTTTAATTTTCACAAATGTCCAAAATGTTTAACTGATAGTTGTTCACAGGCCTGGGAAAAACTTTCCTGTGCCACAAAACACAATATTTATGGCCTACACTTTGATCTATGACGCGGCTAAACAAGGTAGTATGGACACAACTCTTAAAGACGGGAAAGATTAGAATTCTAGTAGAAAGTGTCATGGCCAGGTAGAAATTGCACTGTGCAGTACAGGAATATGACGGAATATGGCGACTGCATGATTTCAATTGCGACGACTTTCCAGTTTGAATATAAATCCGCCATGTTACACAACTGGCTTTCGTAGCGAATCGGTTGCAGTTCATTTGGCCTCCACAGAGCGCCAATTAAACGAGGGCGTCAAAGGCCGATATACACAGACAGAATTTTATTGTTTTTGAATAGAGGTTGTACCTTAAACTCATACATATTCGTTTTTCGTATTTCTCTAGCGTTGCACCATACTATAATTTCCACCGCGCCGAAGTGGGTCATCTTGGGATCCTTTACTATAGAAATACATGTACCCATAGGGCAAAATTCTATTCTGCTATATTCAACCACGACTGGAATTAACCAGGAATCGGTAACGATGTTCTATTGGCACGTAGTGATGGCCAGGGCAGCGTCCCTGCTGCGCCCATGTTTGTACATCCCCCAAACATAAGGGCGAGGTTTTCCTAGTTTCTACCAAACGATCGTAAATAGTCCATCAATTACCAGAAACCTCATCAGCATTTTTAAAGACAACACCCAACCAATCACAGCACAGCTTTGCTAACATTTTGAACACACAGCCAACCAACTACAGCACAGCCTCGTCAATATTCCGAACATGTTGACGAGGCTGTGCTGTACGGTTGGTTGGCTGTGTCTTATTCTGGAAACCAGGTACACGTTGTATCGGAATTCCAAGAGATATAAGAAAATGCCGAAGTAAGATGTATTCAAATACCAACATGTATGTAGTGCACACTCGATTAGGTAATTGAAAGAATTTGTACATTAGTATCCACGTGTTTTAAAAAGAGAGAAGACGCTTTTAGAAAATATAGATCTAGAATAGTACATTGGTGCTTTTAGATTGTTTTTGGATTTTGTATTCACTCCGACGCAATGCAATTACAACGTGCGCAGAGATAAACTAGTCACTGTCTCATCATCTAGTAAAACGAAAAGACACGAAAAATCTTTTGTACCCTGTGCGCCGAAGTTATTGCTTAAAACCTGATCTTTGTATTATCTTAGTAGTTTTTATGGTGTTATTCATCTCTGTTAATACTGATTTTTAATGTGTTAGTTGATGTATTCATTGTTGTGATAAGCTTTTGTGCTGTATTTTACTGATAATGATGCAGACATATGTAAGATTTTATGCTAACTTTATTGTAATAATGGGTGATGGTATGTTGTAAATACTCGACATATCTCATGCACTTCACTGTGACACGCCAGTCGATATTCAACAAATCTTAATCAGAATCTGTGTATTACACGCTGTGCCCCGGATCTTTGCCTTTAGCCTTTCTGGCATTTTTCAATATGCAATAAAGAACATTTTATCATTATTTGCATGCGTGTTTGGTAAGGATCCGGAAGTGGCTGTGGTAACAGTTGCTCTGATGTTCGAACATCGGACCTGACATCTCTGTGCTGTTGTCACACACGAAGAACACGCTGGATTGGTAGTGGAAAACACGTGACCCACCGGACGGGTCGCCATGGTAATAGGACAGGTACACACCTGGGAAAATAGTAAACAAGTAAATAAACTAGAAAGGTGACATTTGCAAAGCAAACGCATAATGTTAAAATTCGCATATCTGGTATGCT